GAGTTCGATCCCCAGTCAGGGAGCTGCCCACATGACGCTGCAGACTTCTCCTGTATTGCCTGCTGCTCCCCTCAGCAGTGTATTTCAGTCAGTCTGCCTGTTCTGTTCTTCACTCTGTCTCTGGTGGATCCTCTCACCTCCCGCATCTTTGGCCTGTACCCCAACTCTTGTAAGCATAAATAATCTTTAAAAAAAAAAACACCTTTGGTATTGTTACTTATGACTCTCCTTCATCTCTCACCCACTGTTTCTAATTCACCAGGAAATCCTGTCAACTCTACTTTTAAAATACCTTCAGAATTTCCCTGCTTCTCACACCTCCACAGCTACCATCCCAATTTGAGTCACCATCCTCCTGCCTGCTTCCACTCTTGCATGCCTCAACAATCCTTACAGTAACCAGGGTGGTTGTTTCGAAATGTAAGAGCACATCACAGTTCGCAAAATCCCCCAAGTTGTTTCCCATTTCACTCAGAACACTGATCTGGCCCTGCATTCCTCCCTCACTTTAGCGCCTACTGTTTACTATCCCCTGACTCTGCCTGACTCTCTGCTATAAATTGCCTCCTGCTGTTGCATGTCACCAACCCTACCTCAGTCTCAGGGCCTTTGCACTGGCTTCACCCTCTGTCCCATACCCTTCTCCCTGACAGTCACATGGATCACTTCTCTACCTTCCTCAAGTCTGATTCAAATAACACTTAAAAAAAAAAAGATTGATTTATTTATGCATACAGGAGCTAGGGTGTAGGCCAGAGTCACGGGAGGAGAAGGGCTGAGAGGATTCACTTATTACAGAATATTCTAATATATTCTATAATTTACTCCTTTGCTATATTTATTGTTTAATGATCATCTCTACTTCATTAGAATGTTAACTGCAGTAGGGCAGATACATTTGTCTACTTTTGCTCATGGGTGTATCCCAAGTTCCTGAATCATGTCTGGCACATAGTGGGCACCCAATAAATTCACTAATGAATGAATAATGAGAGCAATGTGCACATCCCCAAAGTACCACTCCCCAGTTCCCAACACCCTGCTTCTCTGAGCTCTAAACCTGGGAAGGAAGTTATGAGCGGCTTTTCCCTAAAAGTATTCACAGAGCCTTTTTAGTGGATGAGTGTTCCTTCTGTGAAGACAATTGTCACTATGGTATATTGGAAACTTTTTATCAGGATAACCTAAATAAAGTCCCCGGACAGAATAAAAATCAATGAGTAATTCCATCTTGGTTGATATTTGATTGGACAGGTTCGCATGTCAAAATATGACTGCAACACATGACCCTTCTGTCATCAACCACTATTTCCTGACACTTTTCCCCAAACAAACATTATAAATATTGCTATACTTGCAGCAATGCCCTGTGGCAGGCGCATAATAGGTGCTGAGTAGTAAAAAGTTGTTCTTTTACATTTCTCACAGGAACATTGATGGGCCCATGCAGACATTCAGTGTTTGTAGTTCACACTGGAGATGGTGTGGGGCGGGAAGTTCACAGGACACACTTAGAGGGGCTCCTCACCAAATGTCCCCAGTGGCGTTCTCTGTTATACCCACTTCTCTTCTAGCAGCTGCCCCTCCCTCAACTCTTAGCCCCCCAACCCCGGCTTGGCCGAGGAACGTTCTTCCCCGGTCATTTCTAGGCGGTGCTGGCAAGGACAAGACTCTTTCTTCATAGAGTAAGTTGGAAAGATAGGAAACAAAAGAGCCCTTCCATAAGGATATAAATTCAGAAATGAATTAATGAGTAGGTGGATTAATGCATTTTACAAACAAAGTAAATATATTGAATTAGAAGAAAGAATATAAACTTTGGAGTCAGAAAAATACAAGTTCTGAATTTCTTAGCCTTAATTCTTAATCTTTCTGAATCTTTGGGAAAGCAGTGTCACTCTTCTTCAATCCTATCTCCCCTCCTAATAAAGCTATTGTTAAATAAACAAACCACCAAAATTGGCTACTTGAGCTTTTCCCCTAAAACATTGGATCAGCAACAGTGACCTGAAATCATTTACTTAGTTTTCTTGACATTGAAAATGTGGAAATTAAAGTCCTATTGACCAGCCTTCAACTAAATGATGAATTACGATTAGGAGATTTTAAGGTATGTTTTAATCAAAATCACTGCATCTGAAACAGCTTTCGGAAATATTTCCTTTCTTAAAGATTTTTTCAAATGAGTTTGAGAACCTGATAACTTCAACAGCTTCCTTGATTTTATGTTACTGAATGTTTTCACTCTACTTATAATGTACAAGTAAATAAGATGCAGCAACACTTACTCTATACACCAACAGTAAAGAAATTAGAATTTTGTGTTAAATTTGATGAAATTTTTTAAAATTTTGTTCCTTTTGAAGTTTTGCTTTATAAATTTGATTTATGAATACCTCTGACTTATCTATTTCAAGACAATACAAGCAAATGAAAGAAAATCATGCCTTTTTGCTTTTGCTCTTTATTTTCACCAACATTTACAGTGAGCTTATCAGAAATCCAATACAGAAAAGAAAGAAAATTAGAATAATACAAATGTCTATCATTTGTATTATTTTTATTTGTATTGTTATTTATAGTCATATTATTATTTATATTTGTATTATTATTTATTTAACCAAACTTTATGATAAACATAAAGTTTGGTTAAATAATTTACAATAAATTCATATGACAGAACACTGGGCTATAGTTAAAGAAATAATGTGGATCTGATTTTATTGGCATGACAATATGCAGGAGACCAAGTAGCATATACACTACACATCTGTTGATATAAATTATAGATTATGTTTTTCTGCTTTTTAGCCTTTTTTTCTAGATTTTAAAAGGACAAGTATATTAGGAAAAGGAGAGAGAAAAAGAGAGGCACCTGAATAGTCATAGGAGAGCTGCCTTCTTAGCCTCTTTCTTAACATTCAGGAACTTTTTTTTTAATATTTATTTATTTATGCATACAAAAACTGGGGTGTCGGCCAGAGGTGCAGGGAGTGAGAGGATTCACCAGAGACAGAGTGGGGAGCAGAACGGGCAGACTGACTGAAATATACTGTTGAGGGGAGCAGCAGGGCGAGTCAGGAAAGGTCTGCTGCCATGTGGGTTGCTCCCTGGCCAGCAGGGAATCGAACTTGTCCTGCAGTGGCTGATGAGAGCTTCATAGCGCTGTCTTAAACCCCTGTGGCACCAGGGAGTCCCACATTCAGGAACTTTTATTGCCATACCTTGGTTAATGTCTAATGTCCTGCTAACCTGTAAGCTCCATCAGAACAGGACTCCTAACTTTGGCCCCAGCACCTAGTCCCATGTCAGACAGGGATGCACAGTCAAGAGTGTATGAATGAGTGGGCAGTGCCTTGAGCTAAGGAACTAAGTTTGTTCTGGATGTCCCCTGCTTCCTTTCCCAAACTGCTGACAAATCAACCACTTAATCATCTGTTCTAGAACTTTACCAAGTATTATCAACCAGCCTGTAGAATTTACCATTTTCTTGTTTGTAAATGATTTGAACTCTTGTTCATTTTGGTTCTCAATTTGCAGTCTCTCTCGGTAGATTGTCAGTCCTTTGAAGCCAGGGACTATGTTCTGTTTTATTCTTTCTGTGGCACCCAGGAAAAGGCCTTTTGAGTGATTGAATTGATGTGGCAAATATAACCTCCTAAGAGAACAAATTAAAGATTGGCATCACTACAATTTAGTAACCAGCACAGCAATTCCCTCTCATGGACCAGGCTCTGTGGTTGAAGCCTTCTGTCAATTATCTTTTAATTTGCCACAAAAATCCTCTGAGGGAAATATATAGCTCCATTTTATAGGCGAGACTTCAACAAGTCTCAGCGAGTCACCCATGCTAGTAAGAAATGGAAGCGATGCCTCCCCGGTGGTGCAGTGGTTGAGCGCTGGGTTGCGAGGCTGCCCGCAGCCTCTGCAGCCCCCGTTCAATCCCCGGCCACCGGTCGAGGGTCCCACATGGCGCGCAGACCTCTCCTGCCGCCCGCTGCTCCCCTCAGCAGTGTACTTCGGTCCTTCTGCCTGCTCTGCTCTCCCCTCTGGCTCTGGTGAATTCTCTCACCCTCCCGTGCTTCTGACTGTACCCAGCGCATGTATAAATAAATGAATAAATCTTAAAAAAAAAAAGAAATGGAAGCGAGATTGGAGTTAGTTTTTCTAACTCCAAGTCCATGCTCTTAATCACCTGTGACCATCCCTTCCGTTCACCCAGCATCTGACAGACAGTGCTCATCTCAAGAAACAAACTGGACACAGACGTATCAGGTTCGTCTTAGAGACAATTTGGTAAATCAGAAAGAACTCTAGAAGGACACCTCGCTAAGGTAAGCTCCCACAGTTCTTGTGTTTGTTTAGTCACCAACCATGCTGGCAGGTAGAGAAGGTAGCTTCTGACTCCGCTCCTGGACAAAAGCAAGGAAAAGGAGAAGCCATAAACTCAGGTGGGAATCATGAACAGCCTGGGTCAGGAAACCTTTAGATAATTCCCTCCCTGTCCTCTGACTTTTCTTGTCCAAATTTATTTTATTTTTATATTTTTTACATCATTCATCTTTTTTTTTTTTTTACAATGTATGCTTTCTCAGCTGAGCTTCCATATGTCCTCTGACTTTTTTAAGTATGTAAGTACACAGAGGAAAGCAGAGTTATTTCCTGGACAGATTCTTCCTGTAGCAGAGGAAGACCCACACACACAAGTAAAGAGAAGGCACTCACATGGGGGACTTGAGGGAATTTGCGGGATAGCAAGGGTAGGGTTGTCCATGACCAGACTCCAAGAAGGGATGAATGAGGTTTGGCTGTCATTACACGGTTCTGGTTGATAAATACTGTCTGGAATTTCCTTGCTGATTTCTTGTTCTCACAACCGCAGGCCCTGATCCCTGTGGTCCACTATGCAAATGCAAATTACCTGAATCGGCTGCTAGTGAGTCACCAACTCCCCTTTAAAGCCGGGTTGGATTCAGGGCAGTTCTGCTGGGGCAGAAGCCATGGCTCCAGGACCCTGCTTCTTTTCCTGTTGGCTGCTGGTGTGCTGGTTGGTGATTATGGTGGTAAAAGGTAAGGGTTTTGTTTTATTCTATGGTGGGTCCACCGATTAATTTATTTCTTAATAAGTGTGTAAAAGGGCAAAATTTGGGTGTGGGATTATACCAATTCATATATTGGAAATATTTATATCAACTTCCATCAGCTAGTGTGGTTGAAAAGAAAGGCTGAATTTTACCATCTGAAGAACTTGGTCCGAGTCTCAACCCTCACTCTGTGATTTCAGGCACCCTTCACCTCCCTGACATCAGTCTCTTTATCAGTGAAGTCACAGTGTCAATAATATTCATAGTTATGGGGGTTGTGAAGATATAGTTCTCATACGAGAAAAATTCTTCAAGCTTAACTGTGAGGTGGGGGGTAGAATTGGATTTGTAATGGTGGCCTTAATGTAGTATGTACAGAGGCTGGTTTATAATGATGCATCCCTGAAATATATATAATGTTAAAATGCAGTTGCTTCAATTTAAAAAAATATTAAACACATACAAATTCCAGACAGTATTCCAGATACTGGCTATGATTGCTATCAAGCTAACAATTTCCACCATAAATAACTGCAAAGTCCACCTCATCCACCACTTTCCATCCCCAGCAGCACAGTAATTTGCACATGTGGATGTTTAGTCTCTGTTTGCTATTTGTTCCTTGTGTCTTGGTGACACTGGGGTTAGCATAGATTCTGTCTTTGAGATTGTATATTACATTCAACCTTCCTGCTGTGCCTATTCTTTTTCCATTCCAACACTACAAAATTGTCAGGGGGCCTGAGCCTTAGAAGGGAAAGAAAAATAGGAAACAGGGTCCTCTCTGGTGCAGAAGTTAAAGTCTCAGTGCTATCAAGCTATTGCCAACCACTGTGGCAAGAGTTCAATCCCCTGCCAGGGAGATGACCTACATGGTGCAGCAGACCTCTCCCGTCTTACCTGCTGCTCTGCTCAGCAGTGTATTTCAGTAGATCCACCTGTTCTGCTCCCCACTCTGTCTCTGGTGAATCCTCTCACATACCTCTGACACCTCTGGCCTGTATCCCAGTTCTTGAACACGTAAATAAAGTAAATATTTTTTTAAAAAAAGAAAAACAGGGAAGGGGAAAGTGAGCGAGGTAGAAGCCTGGGTAGAAAGCTTTCCTCACAGTTGACCTTAGTTCCAGAACAAGGTGTTGCTTGGGAAGGAGAGACCCAGGAGTCATCTGGGTCCTTTACCCATTTCATGTCATGGGCTCACGCAGGTGCTCAGCCAGGTCCGTTACCCCCTAACAAGTTCCCTGCTCCCATCCCGGTTCTCACAACAAAACAGAGAACAGGGGCATCTGAGCTGGTGGTGAGCCCGCCAGAGATCACCCTGTCCAACCTCTGCAGGCACCCTGGGGATCAGAGGCCAAGGAGGTGTAGATCACAACTAAATCCTGCCCCAGACCTCACAAGCAATGCTTGCTGAAACCCACCTAAAAGAGAGAATATCAAATAAACTAACTACCTGACACCTTCTTTCCAGAAAGTGAATCACTCTTCAGAAAACTCTAAATGTGGAGCTAAACAAGTTATGAGATTAGAGGTTTATTCATAATCTTTAAAAAAAAAAAACTAAGATGTGAGATTTGATTTCCGAATTTGCTCACTTTTCCCCCCGCTGTCCTTCCAGTGTAGCTTCCAGCTTCCCACGCAGTCTTGCTGCCAACCCACAGCTCACTTACAGCTCCCCTGGCTCTGCCTGACAGGGTCTCTCGTGAGTCTTCTAACTCGCCCACCACAGCAGCTGCGGCTGCTCCCTCCTCCTGCTTTCAGCTGTTTATTGTGGATCTGCTTCACATCAGGACATTTAAATGTCTCTGAGCTGCTGCCTTCACAGAGGCTTTGTTAAGCTGTATAATTTTTTTTTAAGATTTTATTTATTTATACAAGAACTGGAGTATAAGCCAGAGGCACAGGAGGGTGAGAGAATTCACCAGAGACAGAGCGGGGAGCAGAACAGGCAGGTAGACTGAAAACACTGCTGAGGGGAGCACAGGGCAACACAGGAGAGGTCTGCCATGCCATGAGGGTATCTCTCTGGCCGGCTGGGAATCGAACCCTCACTGTGAGGCTACGGACAGCTTCACAGTGCTGTGCTCAACCCGCTGCGCCACCGGGATCTCTTTCTCTGACTTCTTATGCAGCTTAGAGCAGCGGCCCATCCCCTGCAGTCTGCATTCCACTCTACTCCTGCACCCCCACACCCCACCCCCAGCCTCCCGTGTCCCTCCCTGATTGTTTTGCACAGCCCTGTGTCCTTCCCACCTCTGCGTTCATAGAGGCTTCTAGCACTGTAACCTGCACTTTGTGAAAGGACTAGGCTTTACCTGTAAAATGTGAGATTTGGCCGAGATGTCCAGTCATTCTTTGAGTCTACAGAATGAATTGAGTTAAAGTTTTTGTGAGTAAGCTCATCTCAAGACTTATATTTCTTTCTGGTTCAACTCAGAAAACACATGAGAAGTTCTAAAATTCCACATGCCATGTAATGGAAGACCAGCATACTAGTATATCAAGTATAAAGCTTACTTCTCTTAAAAATCAGTGTATTTCATTATAAACCAGCTATTGTCTGCCCCGAAAACCACAGACTACAGGTAATTATTTAAAAAGAGTTTCTCATCCTTACTTTTTTTAAAGTGCTAGTTGTTGGTATGCTATGAACACTATTCATGTCTAGACTATAATAAACCCATTTAAAATTGATATCCAAACTCCAAGCAATATTTTGACTTTATTTTTTTTTTATCATACACTAATTTTAAAGTAAACAATTACCGTGAATTTTCTGGGTCTGGAATTAAAAATCTCACTGAGCTCCACAAGAAACTACAGAGGGAAACAGTCAACATCTGCCTAACTGTTCAATTGAAAATCGACTGTCTTAGGACACTATAAACCAGTGACTGTTCTAGGTGCTAGAGACATAGCAGTGACCAGAGGGTCAACCTGCCTGCATGGAGTTTCTCCTAACAGCTGCATCTTTTCAGGCCCATCATTAGTGCACAGATTTTATGAATAAAATCTATCTAGATGGGTCCAAAAAATGGGGCTCAGGTTAACAGAATTTCTCCATAACATGCAAGATTAATAATAGTAACCAACACTCACTAAATGAATATCTATGTTAAAGATGTTCTTGAGCACTTTACACATCTTATTTCAGATAATACAACTATTACAGGGCAGGGAGCAGGGCACCCCAGTAACCTCAAACCTGCCTGCTCTAAATAGGTTCTGCCATCTGCCACATTGAGACAAACATATAAGACCTTTAATGGAAAGGAACTTTAATACAATAAGTGTGCAATACAGAAAAGACAAAGAATATAGTTTCCAAATCAAGCACCCAAAGTTACACATCCCCTCAGGGGTAAAAGTGCACCCAAACAGGATTGGCCCAAAGCAAGGCCTGAAAACCTGCCACAAGTCCAAAGCACCTTCTGGAGGGGACCCATAGAAAAGGGTCAGAAGCAGTCAAACAAATCTGGGAAGAAAAGAGCAAAATCAAAATTAAGATAAAAGCTGCCATCACTAACCTCCCCACAGGTCTCTCACCCACATCTGTTTCACCCAGTTCAGGACCAAAAAGCAAGTACAGCTTCTTCACATGTCTCTCTGCTCCATGTGCCTCCTCAAGGTCTCCTTCTGGCAGGATGGAGATCCTGCTTCCTCCCCACTTCAGTCTCTTCTCCAGCTTCTTCTCCTCCCTGCTCAGCTCCACCCTCCTTTGGATGGGGCAGGGAACCTGGAACCTCCCCTTTTCCTGGAGACCACTCTGTTACACAGCAAGCCAATGATAGGTAGTATTATTTTCTCTATTTTACAAGTAAGCAAAGGAGAAGTTAAGAAACCAGTCAGTGGTCACACAACTATGAAGTAGCCAAGCTTCAGGGAGCCTGTTTTTAAACACTATTCTTTTCTGCCTCTCAAATTGTTTTTAATTCGTATTTAAATTGGCCTGCTTTGGCCTGGTTAAGTTTTGTTTTTTTTTTTTTAATTTTTTTTTTAAAAAGATTTATTTATTTATTTACACAAGCACTGGTTACAGTCAGAAGCGTGGGAGGGTGAGAGAATTCACCAGAGCCAGAGTGGGGAGCAGAGCAGGCAGAAGGACCGAAGTACACTGCTGAGGGGAGCAGCGGGCGGCAGGAGAGGTCTGCGCGCCATGTGGGACCCTCCTCCAGTGGCCGGGGAGCAGCCGGGGATTGAACCGGCGCTGCAGAGGCTGCGGGCAGCTTCGGAACCCAGCACTCAACCACTGCGCCACCGGGGAGGCCCTTGGCCTGGTTAAGTTTTCAAAAGAGATCTCATCTTCGACATTGAGTGCCTTTGATAGCATGTCTCAGTATGTTACATAATGAGAAGTATTTGCTGAATATTAAGGCTATCAATGTTCCATCTCACTGAACCCTAATAGTTCTTTCAAACGTATTTTGAGATTTCTCTATTTCTCTCTTCCAATCTCTCCTGCTACCACCTAACGTATTTCCCTTTAATTTCTGCTGTCAGATCTGTTTCCTGATGCATTTTTCTCCCCATAGGACAAGAGGTGGTTACCCCTCCTGGAGGCTCACAAAATAATGTAGACCCTACAGACTGCCAGATCTTTACACTCACCCCTCCGCCAATCACGAGGAAGCCGGTGACAAGGGTCCAGCCCATCACAAGGACACCCAAGTGTCCCTTCCATTTTTTTCCAGGACGATGGCCCAGAGTCCACATTCGCTTTCCAAAAAGACCTTTCCACCCTCCAAAGTGCAACCACCGTTTTCAACTTCATTCATTTTTTGGGCCACACAGACCCTTTCCTCCTCATTATAGATATTTCCCCAGAAGGAAACACCAGAGCGGAAGCTCATCTGAAGAAAGCAGAGAGAAAAGAGAAGCCCCAGACATAAGGAAGCAAAAGAAGCAGATGCCTCACAAAAGACTTTGAAAAGATTTGTTTTTCCAGATTAGGAGCTATCGAGCTTGAAAATTAAGTATCTTAAATGTCATTAACCAGTAAATTTCTCTGTCAGCAGTGAAGATATTGACTTGTAGCTTATTTATATTTGCAAAACAGGAGCAGTGACACTAGTCTTACCCCAACTTTTTATGATTCCAGTATATTAATGCAAATAAAATGCTAAATTGGATCAGTCCAGTAATTCCTATCCATATTAAGATGCCAGAAGCATCAGCTCCCTCTTCTAAATCAGAGAGAAGAATATTTAAATAACTTGAGATCATTGTAAACCGAATGAACACATCGGTGACACCCTTTTGTATTCTTTGGAAAACTGCAAAAGCACATGGTACATTTATAAAACAATCTTCAAAATATATTATAAAGATTAATGCAAAATGAAGTTATGAGGAGTCTGATTATAGAAAATATTTTAAAGATGTCATGAACTGAATTACCTAGCCCCCCAAACTCTTTTTTTAACTATGATATCTATGTTTGCCTTAACTTTAGCTTTTTAAGCAACAAGTGCAAATTAGCTTGATAAGAATCTCCTGTGTTTCTCCTATTACCTTCAGGTAGATACTAGTTTAACTATTAAATTAAATGATATCCAATCACCCTGAAACTTTCAACACGGTTGCAGGCTCAAAAGTCTGATGAAAAGGCCACATGGAGGTGTCATAACTCTAAAACTCCACAAACAAAAGTTCATTCCGTTACAGGAATCTAGAATTCTGAGGGTACAATGTAAGCAACAAATTGCAAATATTGTGTTCATTGGTTATTTCTTCAGCCATTCTGTAAAATACTGCCACTGTTTGTGCCACTTGTCTTGCCTGAAACATAAGAACTTTGATTTTGCCTCTGCAGTGGGCAACCTACACCTGTTCCTTACAGGCACTGCATGCAAAAATTTTTGCTGCCACTGCTGCTACTGCTTCTAAGAAGAGGAAAAAAAAGTTGCATAAAGACATAAGGAAGCTGTCAATGTCTTTATAGAGAAGATATAATTATCAAGCTGTGCTTCCTTGCTATATTAAAAGCTAAAAAGAAAAAAAAATCCTTCACATACTTCATAGCAAATTTGCATTATAACAACAATATTTGCTTCAAAATAATAGGCCTAAATCTTTATTTGAATGCCTCATTAAGAAGCTCTGTATTTTGTAATAATCTTGCTCCCTTTTTTGATTGTTTTTGGTTTGTTGGGCATAACCAGAAAAGGGCCAACCTTGGGCAAACTTGAAGACAGAGAAAGGTTTATATTTGAGTCTCACCTCCAGTGCTGAACCCCTGCTTTGCTGGGGCCTTTACTAGGGCATGCTCGCTGTTCCCCAAATGCAGCTCACCATGGTACTTGTGTGCTTACAGGGACTCAGGCTGCTCTAAGCACACATGTCTTTGACTGGACTTTCTTTCCCCCAAACATAGAACTTTTCAATCTCAGATTTAACTGCTCTGAATCTGGCCCTTAAAGGCCTCACTATGTGGTATGTAAACCTCAGGAAAACTAAGACCAACTAAAGATAGATTAACAGTTTCAATGCATTAGTCACTATTATCTTTTATAGAAAATAGGCCACTGCTTGGTGTTTCATAGTGAGAGCCTCTTCCAAAATAACCCAAGGCAAAATTGCATCATGCCTGGTCCTTGAACATGCATAGAGTGGCTTATATGCATATTTGCATTTAAGCCCATATTTGCAAGTAAAAGCATATGGATTTGTGACTTTTTAAAAAAATGCATCTTTTGGGTTTTGCATCTTTTGGGTTTTTAAATTCTTCTTTTAAAGTACAGTGATGCCTAGCAGGTCTGCTGGCTCAAAGGGAAAGACTTCAGTCACAGATATCTCAAAGTGGATTTATTTTCAAATGTGCTCCTGTTAGCATACAGGTGGGATTAGCTGTTTTTGAAGCAGTGGGAGTCTGTTGGAAGGGTGTGGTAATTTTCAAGTAGCAGAAATAACCCATACAAGTTTAAAGTTCTAATCATGCTAAAAGGCACAACCTGTATGTAATCAGACAAACCCAAACTGAGGGAGCTTTACTAAACAACTACTCTGTATTCTTTAATAAATTGTGCCTGTCATGAAAGTTTAAAGGAGTACAATGAGACATTGTTAGTGTGGCCCCCAGAAAAAGGGGAGGTGTCATGTTCCCTGCCCTACCCAAGGAAGGGTGGAGCTGCATAGGGAGGAGCCGCAGGAGATGGGGCTAGAGGAAGGAAGCAAGAAGACGTGTAGGATGCACATGTTGCAGAGACACGTGAAGAAGCTGTGCTTGCTTCTAGGCCTTGGACTTGTACAGGGACTTGGGGGACACGGAAGGACACTTGAAACAGGCCTGGGTGAGAGACACGCGGGGGTAAACAACGACAGCTTTTATCTTGATTTTGTTTGCTCTTTTCCTTCCAGAATTGTCTGGTCCCTTTGTTACAGGGCAACCCCAAGGTCAAATGGGTTGGCCTGAACTTCAGTCCTCACTTGCGTGCTTAAAAGGGACATATAATGAGACTCAACTGCAAGTACACACAAAAAGCGTAATAAAGGGTTCATTTACCAAAAAATGGGGAAACGAATAAACGAATAAATCAGGAAGAAAGAGAGATAAATTGATGAATGCGTCCTACCAGTTCTGCCGACCTGGAACCCCAAAGGCATGCTGAAAGCCGGCAAAAAACCATATACCCACCAAGGCCCACGTGTCTGGTTATATACCAAGCCTGGTTGCTTACCTCCACCCTCAGTTCCCAGCAATCCTCCCTTTGGTGGTGAAGATATTATGGGATTTGTAGTCCAGGGTGTCTTGGATCACTTTGGTCTGGGGTGGGGATGGGGTCCATAAAACCTGTTTGTGGAGTTTGTTCAGGACATCCTTTCCCCCAACACCCTCTGCCCCTTTCCTATGGGTCCCCACTGTTAGAAAAGAAAGGAGGCCATGAGTATCAGACTGAAGTAGGCTATATTTAGCAAAAGTCCATGAGGGGAGACTCTCGGCTGCAGCAGAATGAGAATTGCATCCCGAGATTGGGAAAATGGGTATAGGGTAAGGAAAAAGTATGAAGCTTTTCTGCCCTCCCACCATTAGGATAGATGAGGGAACCCTGTGGTCCTGAATGCGTGCCTGATGGCGGGCACCTGGAGTGGGTACACCTGGGCTGAGAGACTGAGTTTATAAGGGCGGCGCCATGGGGACGCCAGCAGAAGCCAAGAATGAACGGAAGCCGAGAGAAGAAGACGAGAGCAACAGAGATCACCAGAGAGCCCAGACAGAGTGAAGATTTGCTGGGGGCTGGGAGGAATGCCAGCCTCCTGGCCCCCCAGCACCCCTGCCTGCCATATGCCTGGTAAATCTAAATAAAAGACCTGCAAAAGCCACTGAGGGCTCCAGGACTCTCTCCTCCTTTACCCCATCAGCATGGGATCTTAGAAAACCTGCTCAGTGGCACGTCCTACCCTTACAATGGGTCTTTATAGTGTCTAGTTACTGCCGGAATATTTGGTGGGGGGGGCTGTGCGGGGCGGGGTGGGGGGGGGCAGGCCTCTACTGCCTGAGGACATCTGCTGGAATTATTTACTGCTGTCAGCTTATCTCTGGTTCCCCTTATCCCTAGTTCAGCTTATTTCTGTGCCAGTTTTATGAGGGGCCTATGTGTGCACTCATCACCCACCAGGTGCCTTAGACTTGTGGCAAATTTTCAGGCCTTGGTGGCACTGCTTTGGACCAACTCTGTTTGGCTGGGCATTACCCAAGAGAGGATGGGTAACTTTGGGTGCTTGATTTGGAAACTTTATTGTCTTTTCTTTGTTTCATACTAATTGTATTAAAGTTCCTTTTAACTAAAGGTCTTGCACACTAGAGTATGTTTTGTCTTGATGCGGCGGATGGCAGAACCTATTTACAATGGGCAGATTTGGGGGCTTTGGGGCGCCCCTCACCCTTCCCAGTAAAAATGACAACTAAAAGCAGCATGTGATCCTAAAGGTAGGAAGGAGAGAGAGAAGATGCCATAAAGGATACAAGTGGGACAACTGGCAAATTTTTTATGTGGACCTCATTCGAAGGAATAGTATGTCACTATTTTCTGAATTTGATAATTATGTAGGAGAACATACTGTTCTTAGGAAATATTTGCTGATATGTTTGAAGGTAAAGGAGCATGATTTCTGCAAGTAAATTTCAAATTATTCAGTAAAACCCCAATTATTCAGGGGAAAAAAATGCATGTGTTTGTGTGTATGAGAGAGAGAGAGAGAGAGAGAGAGAAAATAGGAGAGGGAGGAAAGAAAGGAGGGAAGGAGGAACAAAGCAAAAATAATAAAATGTTTTTGTATTTGATATATTTGAGTCAAGAGTGTACGAGGGTGGGCCTCCCCGGTGGTGCAGCGGTTGAGCGCCGCGCTGTGAAGCTGTCCTCAGCCTTTGCAGCGCCAGTTCGATTCCCCGCTGGCCAGGGAGAACCCCACATGGCGCAGCAGATCTCTCCTGCCACCCGCTGCTCCCCTCAGCAGTGTACTTCGTCGGTCTGCCTGTTCTGTTCCCTGCTCTGTCTCTGGTGAATCCTCTCACCCTCCCATGCTTCTGACCTGTACCCCAGTTCTTGTATAAATAAATAAATAAATCTTTTTAAAAAAGAGTGTGCGAGGGTTCTTTGTATTGTCTTTGCAACTTTGCATAATTTGAAATGATTTCAAAGTAAAAGTAAAAAAACATTGTTAGAAATAACACAGAGAAGTTAGTGCGAGGGAGGGTCTCAGACCTGGGTGACCAGTTAGACCCCCTGGGGACAGATGGGGGTGGGGGGTGATAACAGAGTTGACAGCGATGACAGGGGGAGGGAGGGCACTAGGAAGAAAAGGAAAGTTGAAAAGCAGACTAGATCTTGGGAAACTAACTGGGAAGCCTGTGCTCAAAGTACCACAGTAAAACAGGAAAAACAGCAACACCCAGGCCAGGTAGTCTGTGCTGTCCGCTGGAGAAGGGGAACTTCACCACCGGGAGGACAGTGCTCCTACATGTGCTGAGTGAGTCCCAGTGCCCTGATCTGTGTGAAAGGAGGAAGGCAGGGATAGGAGATGGAATTGGACAGATATCCTGGAAATAAACACAACAGAAGTGAGGAAGTAGAGGACATGGCTGCAGGCAGACCTGGAACGTAGACCTTGACCTTGTTGATATGAATAGCCCTCCTTGTTCTCCAGACTAGGGGCTGTGAACTTCCCTGGAGGTCATGAGGCCTGGCCTTTGGAAACAACTTAGCTTCAGGGGCTGGCAACTCTGGGCCAGACCTGCATGTGACTACTGCCAAGCTGGGCCTGGGGGTAAGGCAAGACCCCTATCTTGGGTGGGAGGTGAAGGTGATCTAAGGAGTGACTCTGGAGGTAAGATGCCATTCTAAGTGGTCACTGGTATAGCAACTGATGTGTCTGACAGGCAAGGGCTGCGAAGGGAGGGTGTCTGGTTTTCTGTAGACACAATTCACCACACTTTATTTCTCAGGTGGAAGATTCCCCTTTGAACTTTGCTTCTAGGTTGGGTACTCACCTCTTCTGTGAGCTTGCTTTGCCCTTCTCCCTCCCTTTAACTCTCTTTAGATTATCATTTACTTGAAAAGCCTAGGGAAGTGGCTGCAGCCCCAGATGTGGGGGTACTGTTGGTTATCATGAAAGAGGAAAGGCAAGTCCTCTGAGACTTCTCGGGGAGGAGGCAGGTGAGTCAGTATTGCTTGCCTGTGGAGGGGGTGGGTATTGCATGTGCACTGTTGGGTGGCCTCAGTGATGGTGATGGAGGCTAAGAGCAGAAAATTTGGAAAGGAAGCACCACAAGACCAGATCTAGAGGTAGGGGGATTAGCTGAATGGAGGCAAACTGACCTAAAAACCTGTTTTCCTGACTAACTGAAATCGAGGCATGTTGCTTTTCTTTCCCTGATTTATTTTAGTTCACGTTAATGGACAATATCCTTTCTAGAATTTTGCTTCTACCTTCCTCCCATCTATAGGACATGACCTGCATTCCAAAGTAGAACAAGAAGGTATTAAATAAGGTTTTTAATGGGGGGGAAATAAATTTTCACTGAAAACAAATGCCATTGTGTGAATCAGTTCTTCTTTCGTTTAAGAAAGTTTCTCAATGTATATACATTCAACACCTGCTATCTTCAAACATTTATAAACAAAACTCTAAATCACAATTACTTACAAGAGAAGAAAAAATTTGTAGTAATGTTATAGGGCAGGGAGAGGGGCAGCCCAAAACCCCGCAAACCTGCCTATTCTAAATGGGTTCTGCCATCCACCGCATCAACACAAAACATATGAGACTTTAATGGGAAGGAACTTTAATAAAATTAGGAAACAACACAGGTAAGGCAAAGAGTCTAGTTTCTAAATGAAGCACCCAGAGTTACCCACCCCCTCGTGGGTAAAAGTCCATCCATATGGGATCGACCCAGAACAAGGCCCCAAAGCCTGCCCCAAGTCTAAAGCATCTTCCAGTGGAGACCCACAGAAAAGGGTCAGAAACAACCAGACAAGCCCGGAAGGAAAAGAGCAAAATCAACATCAAGATAAAAGCTGCCATTGTCACCTCCCCATGGGTCTCACCCCAGTCCACAACCAAAAGACAAGCGCAGTTTCTTCACATGTCTCTAGGCTCCATGCGCCTCCTCCAGGTCTCCTGGCTCCATCCTGCTTCCTTCCTCAGTCTCTTCTGCAGCTTCTCCTCTTTCTGCTCAGCTCCACCCTCCCTTGGGTGGGGCAGGGAACCTCCCCCTTTCCTGGGGACCACCCTGTTACAGTAAGGTACTTCTCAGAAGACATGTTAAGAAATAGGTAAGCTGTAGGTTAATTGTCATTTTTAGTTATTTAATATATGAAGTACTCTGGTGAAAAAATAAGACTCATAAGAAATCAATGTGAGAATGTAATTTTTCATTCACATAGAAGAGTGTTAAGGACCCATTTTCTAAGTTAAAACACCACAAAAAAAAAATAGAAAAAAAAATCCATTCCATTGTAGTCTCTAAGAAAGTCCTTAAAGCCTTAGAATTGACTCTGGTGTTTTTAATTCCCTACCAGGGTTCAGTTATATAAAGAGGGCTGGAAAACAAGTCAATCACATTTTTCAGTCTAGTCTAATTCAAAGTTTAGTACAGACCAGACCTATATTGTAGCACAACTAAGATAATGGAATGAATAATGATAGTCATATAATAAGTATATTTTCTTTGTTCCCATTTCAATAGGAAATCAACTATTCTAACAAAGAAAGTAATTCCCAATCAACAAAACTAAATTCTAAGCTTGCATCTGTCACAAATTTTATCTGGTTGTCTTTATGAGACACAATATTTTATAAGCAGCCTGTGGCTTATATCACGACTCTATAAAGAAAATTAACCTGCCACCTCTATTTTGAAAGTTTCTAAAAAAAAAAAAAAATTAACAGTGTTGACCTCAAAAAGCAATCAGCTGGGAAAATCATAGACAGTTTTATTTGGAAACAAAACAACAGAAGAGACAACCTCAGCGAGAGCCTCTGAAGTACTTCTTGGCTTTTTCTTTAGATTCCTCACCTACATGACCTTGGACCAATCATCCCCTCGGTTCTGAAGGAAAAGGAAACGATGAGAAAATGGAAGGCACGGTTGTTTCCATAGTTTGCTGGTTTTACAAGTACATTGTACCCTCTCCCTCACGACCTTGTTTAAATAGGGCTCTGAATATTAATGTTGACTCAGATTCTTTCTCTTTTTTTTTTTTAAAGATTTATTTATTTATACAAGAACTAGGGTACAGGCCAGATGCGTGGGTGGGTGAGAGGATTCACCAGAGACAGAGCGGGGAACAGAACAGGCAGACTGATGAAACACACTGCTGAGGGGAGCAGCGGGCAAGACAGGAGAGGTCTGCCGCGCTATGTGGGATTCTCGCCAGCCAGCTAGGATGGAACCCGCGCTGCAGAGGGTGCGGACAGCTTCACAGTGTGGCGCTCAACCGCCTGCGCCACCAGGGAGGCCCGACTCAGATTATTTCAAACTTATTTGTTCAATAGCATACAATGTTGTATATATTACCTATAGTCTGTAAATTAAATAAATTCAAAGAGAAACCATCTATGGAGCTCCGTGAGGTATAATATTTATTCATTTTAAAACATACACACAGCAAGTCCATTTCCCCCACTGGTACATACACATATTTCTTATTGGGATGTGGTTTAATCATATCCTTGTAAAGAGAGATAAAATAAACTTAAACTGAAAAAAGGATTATTTTGGTTCAATGTCTATAGCTCCAATTTGCAAAATTTTCTTTTTAAGGAGTTATATCAAGGTTCTAACCAAATATGATCCTAGCGTTTCAACTTGAACTTAGAGTAAATGGTTTTTAGTTCCTTAATTCTAATGTTCACAAATGTCTTAATAGGCAAAATATACCAAAAGCAGATATAGAAATGAGAAGGTAACTGATCTTAGATCCTCAGACATTGAAGTGATATTTTCACACTGCACTTTAACAAATAAAAATAACTTTTTGAAATAAACTGGAAAGCTACTTTGTTTGTAAGTATTGTCTGTGGCTTTCCATGCTGCAGTCTGCTAACAGCAGCCTATTAATGCCTCTATACTAATTTTTTTCAGGATGTTAGCCATACCAATTTAGTCAGATATCTGGTCAGAAGTGAAAGACAGAGCTTCGAAATCAAGACCATATTTTAATTGAACCACTTGCAGACTTTTAGATTAGAACTCCTTATTTTGCCTCTTCCCAAATGTTCTACTTTTTTAAGACTCAAGTGTCTAAGGTTAGAATTTTAATAGTAAGCTCCTCAGAATAACAGAAAAAAAGTGCTAGTTAAATTCCTGGGCTAAATTCTAATCAATGACTTTTGGAAAAAACAACACACTGTTAACTGGTTATGGCAAGAAAACCTACACATAGTCTAATTTCCTTAACAACCATTCTTTAAAATGATAAATGCAGAGCATAATTGGAAACCCAGTAACCAAAAACTTGGAGCTAAATTGGTTTAACTCTCCCACCTAAAAGTTGTAGATCAGTGCATTAGGAAAGATGTATGGACTGTAGGGTAAATTATTTGCACCTTGGTAAAAAGATTTTGGGAAGGCCTAAAGAAACAAGTAGATAGGGACACTCTGTGTTCTAATGTCACCCTCTTACTGTGTGGACAGACATAAAGTCCTTGACAGTGGACGTGTTCTCCACAAAGCCTCTTCAGCTGGGAAGTTGCATAACAATTGGCCCAGAGAAAAGTAATCAGTCCTAGTCAACTGGTAATTTTGCATCCCATCTCTTAATTTTGTATATATACTCCCTTTTCAATGGTTAACACTCAACTTCAACGAGAAGTATTCGACTCCAAGATACCTATAAAATTCTTCTTTACTGCTTTCATTCCAATCACTTTCCTTCATACAGGAACAATAGCACCAGAATGTTACAACACAGAGGATTATCCAATGATAGAATTGTATAAAGTCAATTGAAACGAAAGGTTTTGTTGCCACATTTGCAGCAGAGAGGCCAGATTCCCATAATACACTGATCAAACATCAACAATAATCACAGAAACCAAGGACATACATCTATCCTTTGAGTGCAGTTACAGATCTCCTTAAAGTCTAGAAACAAGCAAGATTTTAAAATGTTTTACAATTAAAATAGGGTAAAGGAAACATTATTTTTTTTACTGATTCTTGTTTTTTTTTTATTTTATTCAACTGATTCTCATTTTTATCACTTACCTCCACCAAACCCACTTCTAAATAAACGCACACATTTACACAGATAATAAAGTTCAATGCATGAACATACCTTTATACACTATTTCTCTCTCTTACCCTTTTTTACTCACTTGTAATCTTAAATAACTTTAAATACACACTCTACTAATAGTAAATACATATTCATGTAACAAGAACCATATCACTATTCTTTCACTGAATATATCTTGAAATGCATCAGTGGACTTGAAAGGCGATGGGATAACAGTTGAGGAGAGGTACTTGCTCAGTATTCCTTTGAAACATATGGAAGTCTTTATCTTTCCTTCTTCTGCAAGGCCTTTCTCAGAAAATGCAGGCAATTCAGAAGCAAACAATCAAACCCCACAAATCTCCCCCTTTAGGTTATCAGCACTTTTGTTAACAAAAAGGATGTCATCTCAAGTGTAGAGCAGCATCTAAAAGGACAGGGAGGGCATATGCCATCGAATATTTTACATAAAATATGTCTAGGCACTGATTTCTATCACACTTGCTTTCTTGTATATACAATCATCCCCCCTTGGAACAAAGAATATGTTCCAAGACCCCCAGCAGACACCTGAAATTACAGATAGTACCAAACTGGCTGTACATTACATATACTGCTTCTTACTATACATACACACCTATGATATTTAATTTAGAAATTTGTCACATGAAGAGATTAACAATAATGAATAATAAAATACAACCATTAAAATAATATACTGTTGTAAGAGTTATGTGAATATAGTCACCAAAATATCTTATTGTACATAACATTTTCAGACTGAGCTTGACTATAGGTAACTGAAACTGCAAATTATCACTAAAAATGTCTGATTTGGGTTTTTTTTTGTACTGTTATATTTAGAATAGTGCTGACTCCTCCTTTATCGGGAAAATGATTACCAAGCAAACATTGTATTTTTCTTCTTTACAAGTCCAAAGGACAACAGTGATTGGGTAAGGGAGATAAGTTATACTTCTTTCTGGGTTCTTATCATTCTGAATTCGCATTATCATATCGAGTAAAACACAGGAGATTAACTTAGGCCCAAAAGATATAAATTCTATGAAAAGGGGTTTCATCCCAGAAAAGAACACTGCCTCTGTTTTTTTTTTTAAGTGTTACAACTCTATGCCTATCAGTTCTCAAGAAATCAATCACTGGAAAATGCTTCATCTGAAGAATTTAGGCTTCAAAAAACTCTCCCATGAAAGGTTTCACAGTTTTAAGTATAAGAAATCAAACCTACCAATTTTAGAGCCAAATGACACTCAATGCTGGTGTTCCACTCGAGGCAAATCAGCCTCCAAAACATCTGACAGGGGGGATCCTGATGCCTATAAATTAATAATTGAGCATTATAGATTCTCAGTAATTGTTCAGATCACACTTTCCAAAAATTCCACTTCTGGTCATTCAAATATCGGATGTTCAAAATAAACTATGCATAGTTCAAGTTGTTTTCATAGAAGAGGATATCTTTGACTTCTTTGTTTATATATATGTTAAGATACTTCTGAAATGCCAGTAAGTTCATTACAACCCATCTACCCTATTTATTATCAAACGAACAAAAACTTCTTGAGAAAAAAACAACAAAACACAACAATTGAGGACTGAGGAGTAGAGTTAAAGTTTGGAGACATGACCTTTCACATAAGGGAACATTTCCAATATTGTTTATTTTAAATTCCCGCGGCTTTGCCCAAAGATTAGGCACTAATCTCAGAGGAGTGAGGAAGTGCAAGAGTCTAAAAGTCTGAAAGAAACCTTATCTTTATGGCCAGACAAACCAGGAAAGGGGATTTCTGCAGGTCAAAAAGTATAGGAGCAATTCTAGGGGGAGAGAACTAGAAAGGGACCCTCTAAATTTTGTTTATAAACCCACAGAAGTCTCAGTCTAATTCCTGAAGTATGCATGCATGGGAAGCTCTAAACCAACATAGCAAAGGCTCAGGGAACTGAACTGAAATTTGAATCACCTACACAAGTCTATGACTAACCTCTGAACTACACAAGCACAAAACAAATATTTTCAAGAGTGAAAGAAATTATTTTAAAAAAATGACTATATGGAAAAGCAAATCTTTAATATGAATAGAGTGGATTGTCCTGGGGAAAGATGTCAAACACTCTTTCTTTATTATTTATTGCAGTAACATTGCATTCTAAAATTATATATGTTTCAGGTGTTCATCTATAATCAACAATAGATTTAAAAGAATAAAAACAATTGAGAGTTTCAGTTTTGAAAGACAGGTTATAATATTGAGGTTTAATGTATTGAAATCCTACAAACTACAAAATCTGTATTTTTATAGCACTATACCTGGACTACACACACATTTAATCTATAAACACATTTTTCATCTATAAAAACCTGAATACTGTAAGCTGGGAAATGCTTATACACACACACACACACACAATCAAGATACTAAGTGCATTGAATCATAAAACAAAATTTAACAAGAAAATTTTATAGATCCCACCAACAAACCTGCCTAATCCTCAAAAACAAACACTCCCCAAAATACTTTAACAGGGGCCACCCCGGAAGCTGTGGCAGCCTCTGCAGTGCCAGTTCCACGTGGCGCGGCAGACCTCTCCTGTCTCACCTGCTGCTCCCCTCAGCAGTGTGTTTCAGTCCTTCTGCCTGTTCTGTTCCCTGCTCTGTCTCTGGTGAATTCTCTCACCCTCCCCACACGTCTGGCCTATACCCCAGTACTTGTATAAATAAATAACTCTTTTAAAAATAAATAAATAAAATAAAATACTTTAACAGGAAATATGAGGCCCAAATTCAATTCCACCTACGAAGAGTATTTCTGTACCTGATGTAATGCAATACTGGGGGCATGAAGGTCAATAGCAGCCAGAGAAGGAATTCGAGATTCTGAAATATTTTTGTTGTCTTTCCTCATTAGTCTGGAATTACGAGCTAGATAAAAGCAACCATAAGCATAGTGAAAAAATTAGATATTTTGTTATTTTCTCACATTCTATAATCTGTCCCTCAGTGTGTATATATTTTATATATTTACATAGTTAAATATGTAGTTACTATGAATTTATATTTTTAATATTCTATTTACTTGACATACATTTTAAATAATTTTATAAACAAAGGATTGAAAAAGTAAAACATTATAAACATACCTATTCCTTCCAAGGCTCTTAGTTCAGGGAGATGATTATAATTTAGTTCAGGCAAATGGACATCTGTCTTTGAGTATTCTTTTCGTTTCTTATTTGCCTGCAGTAGGTTCTTTTCGCTAGTGACCTAATAGCATCACAATGGTTAATACAAATCAATTAGCTTCCAGGTAAGCCAGGTATACTGTCTTTTGTAACTACATGTTTATATCCTAGATTTTTGGATTTAAAGAGCTAGAATATAAAATCTAAAGAATATCAGTAATGCAAAAAACAATTTCATCCATTTATTTCAAAACCTCTTTGTTAAATGTATTAATATTACTAACAAGTGGATTACTTGAGTGCTATGAATTTCTCCTCCCTTTGCCAACCTTCATTGTAAGTCCTGGCAAGCAGCAAAAAGTTAAAAAATGGGTATCACTCTTCTGGTCCTTCAGGCCAGCAAGGTCAGGTCTTAAGACACTTGCCAAGTTTGTTAGTTTATCAGTGCTGTGGTTTATCTTAATTTTGAGCTGTTCAACTTGTATGTGTCACATCTCTTAGGTTGGTTTTTATGTTATATATAAAATAATTTGTTGTAAAAATCTATGTGCAAGTACAGAAAATAGTGAATTCAGACTGCTAGAGTTATACATTCAAAGAATGACAAATGTAGGACCTTCCTGGTGGCGCAAGGGGCACGCTGTGAAGATATCTCTAGCCACTGTAGCACGAGTTCGAGCCCTGGCCATCCCGGGAGTTAACCCATATGGCACAGCAGACCTCTCCTGTCTTGCCCGCTGCTCTCCTCAGCAGTGTATTTCAGTCAATTCACCTGGTCTGCTCCCCACTCTGTCTCTGGTGAATCCTCTCGCCCCCCCAACCCCCCGCCCCGTATCTCTGGCCTATACCCCGGCACTTGTATGCGTAAATAAACAAAATAAATCTTTTTAAAAAGAATGTCAAATACAATACATGAGATACTTATAATAATATATGTACTTCCATCTCAGAGCATAAACTTTGGGAGAAGGATATTGATCTTCAAGCTAGAAGTTGAAGAAAGTTTAGTTTTAGCCCTGTCTCTACTAATTTCATTAAGAAAAAACACCTACAAAATATATAGGTCCTTTTCCCACTAATCTTTACCTCCTTTCATGACTGCCTTTTTCATAGAAGGAGAAACAGGGGAAAAAAGATCTAAAATTATCAGCCAGCATTGATTTTGCAATTCCTAAAAAGACGGTTGATGCCAATTTCTGCAAAATGGCATTGAACCCAACTATTTTGAAGAGCCTTGCTCATCAATTTCCCAAAGCAGACCAGGAATGTAATACACAAATATCCACAAAGAAATCAGTAGGGCATATAAAAAAGGAACATATATGGATACAGAAATTGTATGCTAAGAATAATTAAAAGAAAAGTAAATGTAAAGTTAAAAGCATGAAAGATAAGAATTTTATATTTTTCAGCTCTGAGGATAAATGTGGTAAAGTAAGGGCCTCCCTGCTGGTCTAGGTCTTAAGTCTCAGCACTAGCACCAAGAAGGCCCACTGCAATGGCCTCAGTTCTATCTTGGCCAGGGAGTTAATGCACTTGGCACAGCAGACCTCTCCTGTTTCCCCCACTGCTCCCCTTAGCAGTGTATTTCAGTGGATCTGCCTGTTCTGCTCCCCACTCTGTCTCCAGCGAATCCTCTCACCGGTGTCCTACCACCTCTGGCCTATACCCTACATCTTCTACGCAAAATAAATGAAATAAAAATCTTACAATAAAGGAATACTTCTTTAAAAAAAAAAAAAAGAGAGAGGTAGAGTAGGGAAATTTGTAAGAAAAAATACTCCTTTGGGAGTACATTCCTACCTCCCTCTCCTTTATATAAGAATTTATTTACCATGTTTCTTAAGCAGCTTTAATGTGCTACACACTGTTCTAGGTATGGGGTAGAGCAATGAGGGAAACAAAGCACAAATTTCTACCTTGAAAGCTTACATACAAGTGAGAAGAGACAGACAACTTATACTTAAGTGAAAGTAGAGGATGTCAGATACATGGTATGAAAAAAATATAAAGAAGGAAAAGGGATATAGAATAATGGGGAGCAAGATGATTTATAATAATAGGGAAGACCTCAAACTAAGGTTTTTGTATTCAAGGAGGAGAATAACAACTTTTTTTTTGGTATTATCTGGAAAAGAATGTTCCAAAGAAAAGGAAATAGCAAGTGTGAAAACCTAAATGTGGACGATGTCTGGCCATATTCCAGGAATAACAAGGAAATCAGTGTAGTTGGAATAGATAGATCAAAAATGAGAATAGTTGTAGGTGCAACAGAGGGATGGAGGGGTGAGTCATGCGATGACATACAGGTCCAGTAAGGATTTTAATCTTTACTCAGGGGTGAGAAATCAGGAGAGTCTGAGTGAAAGAGTGACGATGATTTGACTTGATTTTATTTTTTTTTTAAAGATTTATTTATTTATACAAGAACCGTACATGCCAGATGCGTGGGAGGGTGAGAGGATTCACAAGAGACAGAGCGGGAAGCAGAACAGGCAGACTGATGAAATACACTGTTGAGGGGAGCAGTGGGCGAGACAGGAGAGGTCTGCCCTGCCATGTGGGCATCTCTGCAGCTGGCAGGGATTGAACCGGCACTGCAGAGGCTGCAGACAGCTTCACAGTGCTGCACTCAACCACTTGCACCACCAGGGATGCCCTTGACTTGACTTTAAAAAGAAGCATTCTGACACCTATGCTGGGAATAGTAATGCTCTTCTGAACCTTCAGAAGACCTGTGAACCTTACATATGAATTTCCCTTATTACAGCCCAACACTATGTTTCCATTTGCTGAACTACTAATCCGTGAGTTTGGGTGAAGAGAAAGATTGACTTGGCCATAATCGCCAGTCTTTTTACACATAATAGATAATGAAAAAACATTTGTTACATATAAAAATAAAATACTTTCATCAAAAATCTGGTAGGGAGTGGTAAGAAAATTTATTTTATCTATTCTAAAAAAGAATCAATCACCAAGCATTATGTTAAGAAAATTTACTGTTACCAGAAAATTTAAGCAGATGTCATTGTAAAAGTAACATTAAATTTAAGTTTCTAAACTTATAAAACTTACTTAAACTTTATGATTTTCACATTTATGATTATGACAAGCTGGGATGATATATGTATAATTAAGTCTCTTTTATGACAAGCCTCCAAATAAAATTCTCAGCCCTTTAGTATCATACTTAATTAATAAAAGTCTGGAAATTACTTATGATTGCTCTTCTACAACTTCAAATAATTTACTTACTGATGTGTTCACATTAATATTATAAATGCCTGATGGAGAATGTTTATTTGGTTTAACAAATGGAATACAATACTTCTTGGTTTTCTCATCCACTCTGTAACAACAAAAATTTATGTTAGAACCAGTATTAATTATTTTTCCAAGCACAAAACCAAGTGACAGAACACCAAGTGACATACAACTTAATCAGAATTGAACGCCTTTTCAAAAATACATAGTACTCACAGAGCTGGTGCAAAGGTATTTTTGCTTTCTTCTTCACAACTGCTTCTCCTGCCAATCACCCCCAAGTATCATCAAATTACCCTTTAAAAAAATTACTCAGAGCTGGTGAAACCAACTAGCTTCATGCCTAATCACAAGTATCATCAAATGCAAAATCAAGAGGACCATCTCTGTACCACTATGTCACACCAGCCACAACCTGCAGCGGCAGGCCCTCAAAAACAATAACTGATTAGCACAAATTCTTTTCATGTTATTAGGCTAAATAGCTGTTCTTTCCCTTTACCTTAAACAATCCAACTCTACTTTTTTAGGATTCAAATGAATATTTTTTTAATCAAAAGCAAAAAGCCCAAAAACTCCTTGAAATAGCAACCTGAGAAGATGAATAGCAGCCAAGAAGTCTGTGCAGTAATATAATGTAGCTGAAATGACATTGTTTCAATTTGCAAATATAACCTTAAATAACATTTTGCCCTTATTTTCCTAATTCATACCTGTAACTCTGAACTCCTGGGATAGTCCCCAGTCCAGAATTAATAGCAGGAGCCACCGCAGAAAGATTGTGCGTAAGTGGCGGGATGGCCATGGCTGGGCTCCTGGAGCAATCCACACTGCTGTTGCTGCCATCTCTGAGGCTTGTTGAAGGCACTGCTTTGGTGTGACTTGTCCCATTGTCATGAGGACAGCTGGCATTTGAAGCTTTATTTATTTTTTCAGTTTTTTCTCCATCACTTTTTGACCCTTTTATTTTAAAGACTTTAGAATCCTTAATTTTGGGATCAGCATTGGTATCCTGGCCACCGATAAAAGTTTTAAAACATTAGTGATCTAAGGAGGATAAAAATTCACCTTTTCCTATAAAGTATGTCAACAAAGCAAAATTCCATAAATATCACCCTTTTTGTGCCCCTGTTTTCTTTTTTCTACCTATGGGATTAAAATTAAACGTGGGACTCTTGGTCAGACTAGTTCTGATATATATGTACATTTTTGTTTACACTGTATATATAATTTCAAATATATATATATATATATTTCAGTAGGAAACAAACATGGAAGAGGAATCAAGCATGTCCATTCTGTTTTACATAATTGAAGAATTATGGAACACAAAAATAGAAAACTTTCTTCTTTTCATTCACTTGAGAAAATGAGAAAAGGCTGGTGGTGGATTTGAATTACCTTATTCAGATTGTGGATAACATAAAAGAAAAAGTAAAGTTATAATAAATTAAAAATGCTGAACTCTCAATGCTCTACTTTATATAAAATTCTTAAAATTATACTTTTCTCTCTTATCATTTAAGGGAAAAAATGTTGTATGTACATGTTTCTGTCATGTGTTTGTGAGTGTGCACTGAGTCGAAATGTTCTTAAATGAATGTGATTTCCTAACAAGATCTATTGCACATTCTGGTATTTAGTCTCATACACATTTGACACTCAAAACATGAAATATTAAGATTCTTAAATATGTAATATCCATAGGGAAGATACAATTTTTACAAGTAAGCTAAAAGATAACTTGTTCATTACTCAAAAAATTTTATAAAATGTTTGTTCCAAAAATTTAAAGATAGATATATTAAAGTTTAATACACTTTATTAAAACTTAGACATTTACCTGTACCACAAGTGTTTTTCTCTCTTCACCCAAGGCATCATCTTTTTCCTTCTTCCTGTTTAGGGATTTTTTAGATAAAGAACTATATCTGGCATCTTTCTGTACTTTCAACTGCAGCTCCTGAGAAAATCTATACAAAAATATATTTGTCAATAAAATAACATGCAACAAATAAATCTAGAAAAAATGCTTTCAAGATACTTGTTTTAAAAATTGACTGTTCAACTAGACTACATTATTTAAACTGAGAAAAAATTATGGCCTAGATTAGCAGGTCTCAAAAGGTAGCTTGCAGACCCCCCTTGAAACCTTTCCGTAGGTTCACGGGGTCAAAGATATTCATATCTTCTTTTTCACCATATTAACATCGGCACTGATGGTGCAAAAGCAATGATGGGTAAACTGCTGATGCCTTACCAAAACTGAAGCAGACACACCAAACCATACTGGCAGTTATAGTGTTCTTGATAGCCACACATTTTCAGTTAAAACAAAATTGTTAAGGCAGCTATGAACAATAACCCTGAAGAAGCAGTAAAAAAAAGTATTTATTTTATTAAATCCAAATCCTGAACACAACTTTTTTCATATTCTGTGTGACAAATGGGAATCTGCATAAGGCTCAGCAACTTAAATGAACATACTGCTATATATTAATATCTCCATTTAGGGCCTCCCCTGGTGGCGCAGGCAATTGAGCAGCACTCTGTGAAGCTATCCGCAGCCTCTCCAGTGCCAGTTCAATCTCGGCCAGCGAGGATCCCACATGGTGCAGCAGAACTCTCCTGTCTTACCCCTTGTTCCCCTCAGCAGTGTATTTCAATCAGTCTGCCTGTTCTGTTCCCCACTCTGTCTCTGGTGAATCCTCTCACCCTCCCGCGCATCTGGCCTACACCCCTGTTCTTGTATAAATAAGCAAATAAATTTTTTTTAAAAATCTCCATTTAAAAAGTTAAAAATAATGACAAAAAAGAAAGTTAGACAGGACGGCTATGGCTATTCAGACTTGAGGTATTTGGCAGATAGTTTCTTGAAAAAAATTGTCAATTCAAGGATAACAATGGACAACATTTGTATCAATAAAAAAAGTTTTAAGCAAAAATTAGAAAACTGTTAAACTTACATCTACTACTGGCAGCTTAGTATATTACTAATAAAGACTTCTGGTGAGAAAGAATATGACTTTTTAGTATTGTATAATGAAATATGTCAACATCTTAAAAATCAGCATAACTTGGCAAACCAATAGTTTTTCAATGACTAATATGCCATGTTACAAAAGCATGCATGGGTAAAAGCTCTATCCAAGGTACAAGATAGACAAGTGCATTTTAATGTAAAAGGGTAAGAAAAGTTCAGATATGGTTTCAGATTTTACACTGTAGCCAACCTTTAAGAAACAACCTCTGTCCAAGGACTTTTGGTGTTTTGGTGATAGAAGTCATGTGATATACATTTGAACAGGTGTGAACTTATGCCCCTGAAACATATATAATAATGTAAACCGAGTAAAGACTGCTTGAAACTGGCAGAAGGCTCCCAGAGGAGTCAGACATGAGCTGGGACGTTCACCCAAGCCAGGCCCCTTCTGACCAGCAGTCCAAGCCCAGAAGGGGAGCAGGCACCCAAGGCCCGGGCAGACTGGGCACACAGGGGAGTGCGTATCCACATCACCTTTTTAGAACAGGGACCTTTCTTCATTAAAGACTGCTTGAAACTGGCAGAAGGCTCCCGGAGGAGTCAGAGGTGAGCTGGGAAGTTCGCCCATGCCAGGCCCCTTCTGGCCGGTCCGAACCCAGAGGGGAAGTGGGCACCCACAGCTGGGGCAGACCGGGTGCACAGAAGAGTGTGCCTGTCTCCAAAGCGCCATTTTAGAACAGGGACCTTTCTTCAATAAAGACTGCTTGAATCTGGCAGAAGGCTCCCTGTAGAGCCAGAGGGAGAAGGTTCCCTGCGCAGTCAGAGGTGAGCTGAAGGCCCCCACAAGCCCGGTCCCACCTGGCAGGAAGTCGGAGCCCAGAGGAGGATGCAGAGATTTGGAACCCAGAGTGCAATCCAGCTGCCCCACCTCCAGGAAAGTCTGTGGGACTTCAAGACACATATTTGTAACTAAACACAGAAGGAGGAGAAATTCTGTGACAGTGACCATTAACATACTCAAAGTACCACTGCCTCACTAGACTTCTGGCATAACAGTTTTTGACTTGATTGGATTGCCAGTTTCTGAAACTCCCAAAAGAACACACCAAAAAGATGCCAGCCAGTACCAGCGGCACAGTGTCCCAATGCATAAGGCAAATTAGAAGACAGGCAGCAGGGAAAAGAAAAACTACAAGCAAAGTAGCAACGCCTCAGAAAAAAGACACACCACAAAAAAAAAAAACACCCACCAGTTTGCAATGACAGTGACTTGGAAGAACTTCTGAACCTTCCGGAAAAAGAATTTAAAATTGCCATGATGAAAAACTGATGGAAGTCATTAAGGAAAACAACGCTCAGAAGAATGAAATTGAGTCCCTAAAGAGGGAAGTAAAAGAAATGCAGGAGATCAAAGAATTAATGGAGGGGCTAAAGAACTCTGGGAAAAGCAATGAAAGCAGAATAGATGAAATGGAAGAACAAATAAGTACTCTTGAAGACACGAAATAAAAAGAACCAAAACAGAAAAGAAAGAGAAGTACAAAGGAAAAAGACCAAAGAAAGACTTCGCGAACTATCTGACTCCATGAGGAAAGGAAATATAAGAGTTATAGGAATCCCAGAAGGAGAGGAGAGAGATGTAGGAACAGAGAAAATATTCAAGGAAATAATTGAAGAGAACTTCCCAAATATGAAGAAGGAGCTGAAAATTGATATACAAGAAGCAAGAAGAACACCAAACTTCCATGATGAAAGGAAAAACACAGCAAGATACATAATAGTAAAGCTCCCAAGAATCCAAGACAAGGAAAAAATAATGAAGCTGACAAGAGGAAAGAAACAGATAACATTCAAAGGAAAACCAATCAGACTGACATCAGACTTTTCCGAAGAAACACTATGGGCAAGGAGAGAGGGAAGGGACATAGTCAACAGGCTCCAAGAAAACAGATTCCAACCAATGAAACCAAGAGCTGGTTCTTCGAAAAAATCAATAAAATAGAAAAACCCCTAGCCAGGCTCACAAAGGAAAAAAGGGAGAAAGCACAAATAAACAGGATCATAAATGAAAGAGGAGAAATCACAACAAACACAGCAGAAATCAAAAGAATAATCAGAAACTACTATGAACAGTTATATGGAAACAAGTTCAACAATCTAGAAGAGATGGACAAATTCTTACAACTCTACAATCACCCAAAGCTAGATAAAGAAGAAATAGAACACCTAAACAGACAAATTACAAGCAGCAAAATTGAAATAGTAATTAAAAACCCGCAAAACAAATGCCCAGGACCTGATGTATTTACAAATGAATTCTACCAAACGTTCAGAAACGAATTAGTACCTATCCTTCACAAACTCTTCCAAAAAATTGGAAAGGAAAGGATAATACCAAACACGTTCTATGAAGCCAACATTACACTAATACCAAAACCGAATAAGGACAACACAAAAAAAGAAAACTACAGGCCAATCTCCCTAATGAACATTGATGCAAAAATCCTCAATAAAATTGTAGCTATCAGAATCCGACAATGTATCCATAAGACAATTCACCACGACCAATTAGGATTCATTCCAGGTACACAAGGATGGTTCGACATCCGAAAATCAATCAATATTATCCAACACATCAACAAAAAGAAATATAAAAACCAAACGATAATATCAATAGATGCTGAGAAAGCTTTCGACAAAGTACAACACCCATTCATGATAAAAGCCCTTGAAATTCTTGGGATACAAGGAACATACCTCAACATCATAAAGGCCATATATGACAAGCCAACAGCCAGTATCATTCTCAATGGTGAAAAGCTGAAAGCATTCCCATTAAGATCTGGAAGAAGACAAGGATGTCCACTCTCACCACTGCTTTTCAATATAATACTGGAAGTCCTAGCCAGAGCAATAAGACAAGAGAAAGACATACAAGGAATCCAAATAGAAAAAGAAGAAGTCAAACTATCACTATTTGCAAATGATATGATAATATACATAGAGAACCCCAAAAACTCCACAGAAAAACTAATTCAACTAATTAATCAGTTCGGTAAAGTGGCAGGATACAAAATCAACATGCAAAAATCAGTAGCCTTTCTATACACAAACAATAAATCTGAAGAAGAAGAAATCAAAAAAACCATCCATTTTATTATTGAAACAAAAAAAATCAAATACTTGGGACTAAATCTAACAAAAGAGGTAAAGGACCTGTACAAAGAAAACTATAAAACACTGTTAAAAGAAATAGAAGAAGACACAAAGAAATGGAAAGACATCTCCTGCTCATGGATTGGAAGAATAAACATTATTAAAATGGCCATCCTACCAAAAGCAATATACAGATTCAATGCTATTCCAATAAAAATTTCAATGTCATTCTTCAAAGAAATAGAACAATTATTGATGAAATTCATATGGAATCACCAAAGCTCTCCTGAAAAAAAAAAAGAAGGGAATGGAGGCATCACACTCCCAGACTTCAAACTATACTACAAAGCCATAATCATCAAAACTGCATGGTATTGGAATAAGAACAGACACACAGACCAATGGAATTGAATAGAAAATCCAGAAATAAACCCACAGATTTATGGTCCACTAATCTTTGACAAAGGAGCAAAGACTATGCATTGGAGCAAAGAAAGTTTGTTCAATAAATGGTGCTGGGAAAACTGGGTCGCTACATGCAAAAGAATGAAGCTTGACTACTACCTAACACCATACACAAAAACCAACTCAAAATGGATTAAAGAACTAGACATAAGATCTGAAACCATAAAATACATAGAAGGAAATATAGGCGAAACACTACATGATATGCACATCAAAGACATCTTTACAGACACATCACCCAAAGCAGTGATAGTGAAGGCAAAGATAAACAGCTGGGACTATATGAAATTAAAGAGCTTCTGCACAGTAAAAGAGACAATAACCAAAACAAAGAGAAACCCCACCGACTGGGAGAACATTTTTGCACACAACACTAATGATAAAGGACTGATCACAAAAATCTACAAAGAGCTGATGAGACTCAACAAAAACAAAGAAAATAATCCAGTCCAAAAATGGGCAGAAGGGCTAAAAAGAAACTTCTCTGGGCCTCCCCGGTGGCGCAGCGGTTGAGCGCCGGGTTGCGAAACTGCCCGCAGCCTCTTCAGCGCCGGTTCGATCCCCGGCTGCTCCCCGGCCACTGGAGGAGGGTCCCACATGGCGCACAGACCTTTACTGCCACCCGCTGCTCCCCTCAGCAGTGTACTTCAGTCCTTCTGCCTGCTCTGCTCCCGGCTCTGGCTCTGGTGAATTCTCTCACCCTCCCGCACTTCTGACTGTACCCAGTGCTTGTATAAACAAAACAAACAAACAAACAAACAAATAAATAAATAAAACATGCCTCTATTAAAAAAAAAAAAAAGAAACATCTCTGAAGAGGAAATGCAAATGGCCAACAGGCATATGAAAAAATGTTCAACATCACTTGTAATCAGGGAAATGCAAATCAAAACTACCATGAAATACCATCTTACACCAGTGAGAATGGCACTTATTAAAAATACTAGCAACAACAAATGTTGGCGAGGTTGTGGAGAAAAAGGAACTCTCCTGCACTGTTGGTGGGAGTGCAAACTGGCCCAACCACTATGGAGAGCTGTGTGGAGATTTCTTGACCTACTAAACATAGATCTTCTTTATGATCCAGCAATCCCACTCCTAGGTATTCACCCAAAGGACACAGAAACATCAATTCCAAAGAGCACCTGCACCCCTATGTTTATAGCAGCACTGTTTACAATAGCTAAGCTTTGGAAACAACCCAAATGACCAAAAATAGATGACTGGATCAAGAAGATGTGGTACATATACACCATGGAATATTACTCAGCATTCAAAAAAGATAAACACATGCAATTTGCAGCAACATGGATGGCGCTGGAAGGGATCATGCTCAGCAAAATAAGTCAGAAAGAAAAAGAAAAATACCAGATGGTCTCACTCATAGCTAGAATCTAGAAAACTTAAATAAGGGACCAGGAAAAAGCATAACTATAAGAAAGAAAATACCAAAATCAACAAACAACTATGAACCAGAGACACTGTATGGGTGTGGGGGGTGGGGAAGGGAGGGCTTGGGGTCAAAATAAGGGGGTTGTAATTGTAAGGGGAATATAAAAATAAAAGTTAAATAATAATAAATAAATAAATAAAAATAATGTAAACCAACATTACCTCTATAAAAATAATTTAATAAAAAAAGAAGAAAAAGAAAGAAGCTACCACTATCAAGTTTTGGTATAATATCGAAGATTTTGATACAAAGAAGCCTATCAACAATTATCTGAAAGGGTTATTATAATACTCTTCCTTTTTTTTTTTTTTTCTTTCCTGGGGCAGGGCAAGGCACACAGAAAGAGAAATATCAGTTAGGGACCAGGGCCCACCTCAAGAGACTTTTGACCCCATTCTGAGAACCCAAAAATACTCTCTAGGGAACACAGGCAGGGGCTGGCTCAGCTACCCACAAAATATTAGGCTAAAACCACATAGCAGAGCAGAAAACTGGGGGGACTCAGAAATGCCCAGAGGTAATGAGGTGGGCGCAGCAAACAGTAGAGAAACAGCTCACAGAGACATTTTACATCAAGCTCCAGCCTCTTCCATTTTCTAACTACACGTATGTGTGAGGCCAGAGTTTCTTCATATACTTCAGCCGAAGCATGTTACAACTAACTGAATGCAGACACAAATATGAAAATCCAGCTATCTTTTATTAGTTACATATTAAATAGATTTGCAAAATATACACAGCAATGGCCATTGTCACACATCTCGCTGCAATCAGTTGCACTGATGCCAGTAGATGGAATAGCACAAGGGACTACACCAGAAGCTCTGGCACCTACAGGTTTGGCATATCAAGGACCCCAGTACATCAGTGGTGTCAGCAATACCACAGGATTGGGTATGATGTAAGTTTGGCACCAACAAGGTTGGAAGCTTTGCAACTGCATCAGCATCCAAGATGATGGCATCACTTGTGAGTTGCAACATAGAAATCAGTGACCTGAAATTCAGATTTCATCAAGGGGAGACAGAAACAAAGCATAAAGTGGCTGCTTTGCAAAAGCCAAGAGCCCTAATTTAGTGAAGAAAGCAAGGGATCACTCCCAGGAATTATGTTATTGCTGAGGGTACATGAAAGTAAGTAGGAAGAAATTTGAGATCCTGCAAAAATAGGTGAGTAGAGATATAAGAGAACTACTGTTTGTTACTGGTATGGAGGCCTTACTCCAACTCTGGGTTGGTATGAACTGGAAAACATGCGTCAGTACTATACCTCTCAGCAAATCCATCCATATGAAAGAAATCATGGTGCAGGAGCTCAGCACAGAAGGGCCTTTTGTCAGGGTCAATATGTAAGCATTTCTAGGGGGAAAAAAAAAGGAATATATTAGTTCCTATCAAAAATAACTACCTATTGGCCTCCCTAAGGGTTAAGCACTGCAAAATGAAGCAATTTGCAGCCTCAGCAGCATGAGTTCGATCCCTGGCCAGTCAGGGAGCAACCCACATGGCGCAGCAAACCTCTCCTGACTCGCCCGCTGCTCCCCTCAGCAGTGTACTTAGGTCAATCTGCCTGTTCTGTTCCCCACTCTGTCTCTGGTGAATTATCTCACCCCCCGCATCTCTGCCCTGTGCCCCAGCTCTTGTATTCATAAATAAATAAATCTTAAAAAAAACACTACCTACTTTGACATTTCTAAATATAGACAATTATTCTATGTAGTCAATGAAAGAAATCTAAACATCTGTATTCAATGATAAAGAATAAAGCACAAAACCTAACAATGACCACCAATGGCATACAATATCACAAAAAAGAAAGACTATCATATTCAGGGTCTCTAGATGGAAATATACAAACCTCTCATGAAGAAGTTTTGCCACAAAAACACCTGATTCTGATAAAGCTCTAGTTATACTATCAGTTTATAAGAATATAGGACGCAGAGGAATACATTAAATTATACTATGTGGAAAATTATAAGAGACAAATAACCTAATTTCTCAACAAATAAATGTCAAGGTTTAAACAAAAAGGAAAGTGATAAAGAGGAGTTTACAAATTAAAAATCTTAGGAAAGACAATCAACCAATTGAGACCTTTAGAAATAATGTAGACCCGGGCCTCCCCAGTGGCGCAGCGGTTGAGCGCTGGGTTGCGAAGCTGCCCGCAGCCTCTGCGGCACCGGTTCGATCCCTGGCTGCTCCCCGGCCACTGGAGGAGGGTCCCACATGGCGCGCAGATCTCTCCTGCCGCCTGCTGCTCCCCTCAGCAGTGTACTTCGGTCCTTCTGCCTGCTCTGCTCCCCACTCTAGCTCTGGTGAATTCTCTCACCCTCCCGCGCTTCTGACTGTACCCAGTGCTTGTATAAATAAATAAATAAATCTTAAAAAAAAAAGAAAAGAAATAATGTAGACCCAAATTCATATTATGAAAAGAAAATAAGAAAAAAATCAGTTAAATTTTGGACACTGATGCTTTTTGATATTAAGAAGTTACTGCAAATTTTTAAAATTTCAAATTCATGTAGAAAGGAAGGGATGGGACCTATTTGCTTATTATTGTGCTAGATACTTTAGGTAGATGATTTTATTGTAATTCAGATTTGTTCTGATTCATTGGAATAATCAATGGTAGTAAAAACAGAAATAATACAATATGTATCTTTAAATGAATAAGAAAAGTTCTTCAATTAATTAAGGTATTTTATAAATGAAATAATATATCTAGAATTGGCTTCAAAATGTCCCTACCCCTTCCCAAAACAAAAAATTGAGAAAGAAAATTATCAAAAGGTTCCTAACTGTTGAAGGTAAATAACAAATATGTGAGGATTCATTATACTACTATTCTGTTTGAAATTTTCTATAATAAAATGTTTCAAAAGTTATATGATTCTACTATAAGAGATATAATTTAGACAATAGTCATACCTGTATTCCCTTTAAATCTCTCTACAGACATATCATAAAGCAGTTATCAATAAGTAATATTTGTATCTGTTAGAAGATTATGCAGAAAAGTAGAAACGTATTACTCTAAAAACTAGTTATAACTAATTTTAAGTTTACTAAATTTTTTTTAGTTTACTAAATTTTTTAAATTCATTTTATTTTATTGTATTCCTACTATTTACAGTGACTATACACAGAGTAGGTAATGTAATAATTAAAAAACAAATAGTATTAAATATTGTTCTGATCCTGGAAAAAATAACTTCTATTATAGTTACATACAAAATCCAGTGTCCTCTGAAACAAGCTACTTACCAAGGGCTATGAGAACACAGCTGAACACACTCTGAGTATAGTGAGCTAGCACTTCAGCTGGGCCTAGTTTACTAAATTTTTAAAATTATTTTTAAAGAATTAAAAAAGCAGAAAAAAATTCTTCAGAAAATACTGTGATGTGATCCTGTGTTACAGAAATACTTATTTAATCCATTCTTTAAGACAACCCTAATTATGCAAGAAATTTTTAAGCTAATAATTCCAAAAGTTCCATTTTTAGAGATAATTTGATCCAACAAGAGTCTCCCTAATACTGTCCTCAAACACAAGCCAGTTGAACTTTCAGTGGTGAACTTAATGTAGTATACACACATGTTGATTTTTAATGATGTACACCTGAAGCTTATATAAAATTATAGCATATCACTTCAAAAATAAATAAAAATAAAAAAAAACACTAGGCAGTGAATGATGATCATTTGTAAATTAACTTTAGAAAATCAGTGACTAAGCAAAGCTCTGTCATGATCCTGTGCACGATACTTTAATTTTTCCTTTTTTATTATCTTCCTTTTCTTTTCTACTTACACAGGCCTTCCATTTTAAATGCTAAATATTATAAGCATATATTTATGAAGATATTTCACATTTGGAAGATGCTAAATAACACTAAATGGTTTTTTATTTATTTTTTTTTTTTTATAGAGGCATGTTTTTATTTATTTATTTATTTGTTTGTTTGTTTTGTTTATACATGCACTGGGTACAGTCAGAAGCGCGGGAGGGTGAGAGAATTCACCAGAGCCAGAGCGGGGAGCAGAGCAGGCAGAAGGACCGAAGTACACTGCTGAGGGGAGCAGCGGGCGGCAGGAGAGGTCTGCGCGCCATGTGGGACCCTCCTCTGGTGGCCGGGGAGCAGCCGGGGATCGAACCGGCACCGCAGAGGCCGCGGGCAGCTTCGCAACCCAGCGCTCAACCGCTGCGCCACCGGGGAGGCCCCACTAAATGGTTTTTTAAAACAAAAATTTTATGTCTTTATTTCTGAAGTTCCCTTCCCCCATCAAATTTTTTATATGCTTAATGCACAAAAAGTGAAATCATCACAAACAATTGATTTAAAAGATCAACTAGGCAAGGGGCAAAAAGAGAAAACCAAGCCTCCATAATATAAATTCCCTGTCAGAAAGTGAAAAGAAAAAGAATAATTACCTTTGCTAAATCTATAGCAACTTCAGAGAGGTTGGGATAGCGTCTCTCAAGTGGTTCTGTTTCCTTGATTTCAGGCAACCTTACTCCAGCAAACACAGGATTTTTATAAAACAATTCCTGATGTCTTGGAATTAGATTACCTGGAAGTATAAGTAGCATACATCTCTGTCATTATACATCATGACAAAAATGGCAAAGAGATGATGAGTAAAGAAGGGAATACAGCTAATGGGGCTGGGGCCCAGCATGCAAAATGAAAGACAGTGTTGTACAGTAATGACACCTGGCAGTCTTTAAAGTGGTTTTGACACAAGTCAACTCAAGTAAATTAACATTCCTATCTCAATACACTCAATTAGGAAAGTTTAGACACCACTGTACATAGTACCAAACACATGAAAAAACATAAGAAAAAGACAGGTGAAGAACATTTTATAATTTTCTGGATACATCCAGCACTTCATTGCTTTCTCTTTTTTTAAAAGATGTATTTTTATTTATGAGAGGATTCACCAGAGACAGAGTGGGGAGCAGAACAGGCAGATGCACTGAAATACACTGCTAAGGGGAGCAGCAGGAGAGACAGAAGAGGTCTGCTGCGCTATGTGGGTTAGCGCCCCTGCCAGGATCGAACTGAACTCATATTGCAATAGCTGGTGCCAGCTTAATAGTGCTGAGACTTAACCCCTTGCACCACCAGGGAGACCTAAGAATTTAATTTTTTATTAACTATTTTTGTTCCTGTATATAAGGTCCAATTTGAGCACTTTATCTCTTTTGTCAACTGTCACGCCTAATATAGTATGAAATATATATGAAAATTCTGTGTAAGAAACCTGAATTTCTAATCCAATAGTTAAATAACCCTCAATGACTTTTCTATTATTTCCATTTTCCAAACTTCATCTCCCAACAGAAAGCTTATTTTTCAACAAATACAAGAAGGCTCTGATAGGCTAGCTTTGAATTTCTGCCCAAAGTACTAACAACAAAAGTCAAATCTGTGGTAAGCAAACAATTTTGGAAATATCTGTCTCTTGATGTGAAAGTAAGGATGAAGGTAATAGTTGGATTATACTAAATGTTAGCTAACCCAAAGGTAATAAGTGATCATTTACATCTTCCCAAGTTGTGATTAATTGAAAGCAAAAGTACAGAGAAAATACACAACTCTTGCTCTTCTGTTGTGGGGGAGTGGGGACAGAGTAAAGAGATGAGCATGATTAAGAGCATATTTTTTTTATATATATAGATATTTATATCTATATATATATATATGTGCATACACACATATTCATACTACAGGATTTTCCTATTTGCTCCCTACTGCCACTTAAAACACATAGCATCTTAATATATCAACAGTCTGTAGCTTGCTAAATGTAGTTTGTAGGGGAAAACACCTGACATTTAAAATGCAGATGTACAATCTTACCTAAACACATCATAATATGATATAGCTGATCAATATCAGAATCTCCAGGAAAGAGGGGTTCCCCCATGAACATTTCAGTTACCAGACAGCCAATGGCCCACACATCAACAGCCCTGAAAGAAAAGTGATGTGGAGTAAAATCTGGCATTTTATTTATTTATTATTTTTTTAAAAGATTTATTTATTTATGCATACAAGAGCTGGGGCACAGGGCAGAGATGCGGTGGGGTGAGAGGATTCACCAAACAGAGTGGGGAACAGAACAGGCAGACTGACCAAAACACACTGCTGAGGGGAGCAGCAGGCAAGACAGGAGAGATCCGCTTCGCCATGTGTGTTGCTCCCTGGCAGGCCGGGGATTGAACTTGTGCGGTAGAGGCTTTGGATTGCTTCATAATGCGGTGCTTAACCCCTTGTGCCACCAGGGAGGCCCAAATCTGGCATTTTAATGTTTATTGTGACTGACTATGTTCTGCATATTACTATTTGTAATTCTTGATATTGAGAGCAGGGATAGAAAGACTTAAATTATCCATAAAAAGACATTCCTTTAAAAAATAATGTACTAACTCCCAGGAACTTCAATCATGTGATGTAAGTTAAAGGCTTCTGAAAAGTCAAAACAATAATTATGTGTACTTTATTCTAGAAATACGTCTTTCAAGTTTCCATTCTTTGATTATACTTAATTCAAAAAAGTTAATCAGTCTATCCTTTAGTATACTAAAAACAGCATGCCAGAAGAAGGTAGTCATTGAGGACATATTTAGTAGTAAGAACTGAAAGCTAATAGGAAGATTGTCTTGAAAATCAGTCACAACAAAGCAAAAATATGCTGACATCATTTATCATAGGGACAACTACCTTGACTTTGCTTAAGGTTATATATAAAAGATAACTGTACACATATTATACATGGCAATAAGAATGCAGAGTGATCAAAACATTAGTGAGTTATTATAGCAAATAGAGTAATTGTAGAAAACAGAAAGATTTCTATTAAAAAACAATAAAGCTACAATCCTTTCTTTGAAGAATTCACTTATGAAGACAATTTATGTTTTAAAAATGTTTTATTAACTTGTTCCTACTCCCATACCTCCTGCTCTACCTCAACCTAACAGTGTCAGACTTATCCGATTTAGGTGTTAGTCTTTCTTTACAAGTGATAAGTACATCTATTTCCAACCTACTGGAAAAAAACAACCTACCTTTCATTTAAGGTTTAATACAAGGTTTCACAAGAATGTTTATAGGGGGAGCACCAAAAATGATTACATATCACTTTATAAAGTTCTTTTCAGAGTTTTAGTAATCTTTCATTATATTAGAAATATAGTTCTTTTTATTAAAAACAAAAAAACAAAACAAAACAGAATTTAATCCACTTGCCCACCCCACCCCCTCAGTGATGTCTTACTTGCCATACTTGACGTCACCAACCAGCAGTTCTGGAGCTCTGTACCAGCGGGTGGCCACATAATCAGTATAAACCTCCCCTGGAGCTGCCAGTGTCCGTGCAAATCCAAAATCACATAATTTAACAACGCCAGACTGGGAGACTAATATATTTTCTGGTTTTATATCTCTATGTATGATCTAAGACAAAGAGCAGAGTATGACATATGTTGGACACATCAATTTGAGTAAGTTCATTCTTTTTTGAGTACCTGCCATGTTCAGAGCAGATCTCTAGAATGAATACAAATAAGAGTATATAAAATTGTTGCGTGCTTTAAAGAAACTAGGACCTAGTTGGTGAAGAAATAACACTTCTGCTTCAAGTTTTAAACAATCAAAGAACTGGATGAAATATATATTAAACACAAAATTAATTATTCTGTTAATGACTGCTCTTAAGACCAAGAGAGCTGAGCCATTATTGAAGACTGGGATGGTAAAGGAAATTTTGATGAAATGGGTGGACTCTAACTCAAGTCCTTAAAACCAAGTATGACCTGGAGAAATGCAGATAGAAAGGGAAGGCCCATCCCAGTGGATGCAACAATAAGAACCAAAGAACAAAGATGACAGCTCCCTTCCCAAGACGACTTGCCCGTGTCTCTTTTACCAAGCCTGTCCCTTTCTGCCTGCTTATGTCTAGCAAGTGTCTTCTTCTCCTTCATTTTCTTCTGATAAACCTGCCCTTTTGGATATATTAAGAAAAAAAGAGCAAAGATGAGAACAGATCAGGAAATTCTGGAAGAATGTTTTCTCTAGAGTAGAGGTTCTATTCTAGGAAAGAGGGGTGCTGCAACTGCCAGCCTGGGAAGGCTGAGCTGTGTCAAGGTCATGGGCGTAGTGTATAAAGAAGATTTTGGCCATAAACAAGATAAAGCAGACTGAGAGACAAGAGTGAGGGAGAAGAGCAGTGGGACAATTGTGAGGTGATGAAGGCCTATACCAGGCTGGTATTCAAATGAATAGAAAGGAAGATACACAGTTTAGAAATACTATAAATGAAAAATCAACAGAATTTATGAAGTAATCTCAGATATTTTATTTAAACTTGTGAATCTAAAAGAATGGTAGTTCTTTTAGAGAAAGGCCTAGAAAAAGTTTGATTGGATAATTACAGTTTAGTGTTAGCCATATGAGTTTTTAGGTGGACTGTTGAGCATCCAACCGCAGGCATTCACCAAGCAATTAAGGGGAAACAAGGTCAGTGGTTAAGTTTTCTAAAAGAGACACTGAGGAGGAGAAAACAGGTCATTGAAATAGAGACAATACTAAAAATTCTATAGTCAAAACAAATTATTAGGACTAATTAACTATTACAAGTAAATTGCATTTTGAAAATTAAAAATATCTGTTTTAAATTATTTCAGTGATTCAGCATCCTAAATGGCAATCTGCCATGGCTGAGCATTTTACATAAGCTACCAGCTTCTATCACCTCTTAGACTTCCATGTTGAGGGCACAGGGCCACCCCCACATCCCCTATTCTGTATCAGAAAGAAGTGAACTGGGAGTTAGGACACCAGGGTTCTAGTCTCAGGTTTTCAGTATAGTCATAGACAACTCGACCTTTCTGGATTATCTCCTCATCCCTTCAAACGTGGGGATTAAAATACATGATTGCAGGCCTCGCTGGTGGCGCAGAGGTTAAGCACCGCATTATGAAGCCATTCACTGCAGCCTCTGCAGCACGAGTTCGATCCCCGTCCAGCCAGCAAGCAACCCACATGGCGCAGCAGACCTCTCCTGTCTCGCCCGCTGCTCCCCTCAGCAGTGTACATTAGTCAGTATGCCTGCGCTGTTCCCCACTCTGTCTCTGGTGAATCCTCTCACTGTCCCACAACCCCGCCCCGTATCACTGGCCTATACCCCAGCTCTTGTATGCATAAATAAATAAACCTTTAAAAAAAAATAAAGTACATGATTGCCATGGTCCCACCCTACTATAATACTCTATGAATTTGGTAGCAACAAAAGAACATAAGAAAAACCAAGTCATTGTAGATTTGGGTGGTCAAGGAAAGTTTTGTGAAAACAATAGGCTCTGATATGGTAATTCAATAATGTCATGTCCTAAATAAATGATCATACCTAATTATTTTAGCAAAAATGTTATTTAGATATCTACAAATACCTCATAATACTCTATTAATTGGGTCAAACTTTAATTGACAGTAACTGTAATTCATTCTTTTTTTTTTTTTTTAATAGAGGCATGTTTTTATTTATTTATTTGTTTGTTTGGTTTTTTTTGTTTATACATGCACTGGGTACAGTGAGAAGCACGGGAGGGTGAGAGAATTCACCAGAGCCAGAGCGGGGAGCAGAGCAGGCAGAAGGACCGAAGTACACTGCTGAGGAGAGCAGCAGGAGGCAGGAGAGGTCTGCGCGCCATGTGGGACCCTCCTCCGGTGGCCAGGGAGCAGCCGGGGATCGAACTGGCGCTGCAGAGGCTGCGGGCAGCTTCGCAACCCAGCGCTCAACTGCTGCGCCACCGGGGAGGCCCTGTAATTCATTCTTAAATATATTTACTTGACTCAGCTCATGAAAGGATTAAAATGCTATTAGAAAAAACACAAGTACAACAAATCTAGCACCTTAAAATAGTATCCATTTATTATTCAAAGTTCTGTATGTCCACAATCTAGGAACAGCTTAGCTAGCTTTTTTCCTTTAAAATTTCATTTTCAATTACTTGAATAATGCATTTAAAAGTAAATAGCTTAGGGTCCTCCCGGTGGCGCAGCGGTTGAGCACTGGGTTGCAAAGCTGCCAGCAGCCTCTGCAGCGCCGGTTCGATCCCCGGCTGCTCCCCGGCCACCAGAGGAGGGTCCCACATGGCGCGCAGACCTCTCCTGCCGCCCGCTGCTCCCCTCAGCAGTGTACTTCGATCCTTCTGCCTGCTCTGCTCCCCGCTCTGGCTCTGGTGAATTCTCTCACCCTCCCGTGCTTCTGACTGTACCCAGTGCTTGTGTAAATAAATAAATAAATCTTGTATAAATAAATAAATCTTTAAAAAAAAAAAAGTAAATAGCTTAAAGTTCTTAAAGTGAGACATTTTATCCTTGTATGTATGTATACATTTGTGTATGTACATGCATGCATTTATTTATTTCCTTTCCTACAATAATTATTTGTCTGTTTAAAGAGTAGAAAGGGTAATCTTCCCAGAAAGTAGATTTTAGGATATATTTTTGACATATGAGAGCTAACACTTGATCATTTCTGTGTCAAGCATTATCTATGTGTTTCATATGTTTTTATAAGTCTTAATTTTATCCTTACAACAACCCTATGAAATAAGTTTTATTATTATGTCTGTTTAATAGAGGGTTAAAAGTGAGCTTTGGGAAAAAGTTACTGTAGGTTTAGGGAGGAAGTGTGAAATCATCTAGAAGAGTCTGGGTAAATGGACAATAAAAAGTAGCATGACTAAAACTAGAGCTTACTGGAGGTAAGTGGTCATAAATTAGAGTAAAATCAGTTTTCGCCCCATAAACACTACATTTTACACAATTTAAAGTGATACATGAGCCCTATGAAGTTAATCTATGAAATCACTGGATATTAACACCTTTTGCCTCACAGAGAGAATAGCACTCATGCCAGCAGCACTTAATTCCTAAATTGCCTGAATGTGTCAGTATGATGTGAAATATGTTATTAAATATGAATTGATTAGTCATGAAAGCATAAAAAACAGAGACACAAGCCAGTGTACGCAGAATTAATTCAAATAATTCAAAAGGGAGAGCCAATGTTTTTTTGTACATAGATTCCGTTGGCAAGCCTATGGTTAGTGTGGAGATAAACGCAGGGAGCTTAGTCATCTAACTTCAAGTATCACAGCCCCACTGTAAAGATATCTTCCTTCTTATGAGGAAGATGAATCAGTCTGCACAGATTGATTCCATTTGATTCACTAACACCTTGTAATGGTTTGATTCCTGTCTAACCAACATAATTTTACTTCATGTATTTTACCTCTGGAACTATGATCGCTTCCTAACTTACTAAACAATCATTTAGTCTCCTGAGCTTGTAAATTATGAGTCTGCCCTAAGAAAGATATGGTCTCAATATTAGTTTTTTTGTTTGTTTTATAAATTCTAAATGTATTTATTTACTTATGCATTCAGGAACTGGGGTGTAGGCCGGGGATGCCGGGTGTGAGAGGAGTCACCAGAGACAGAGTGTGGAGCAGGACAGGGGGATGCATTTCTACTGAAATACACTGCTGAGGGAAGCAGCAGATGAGACAGAAGAGTCTGTTGCACCATATGTGGGATAGCTCCCTGGCCAGGGATCAACTCAGGCCTCAGCAGTGATAGCACTGAGACTTAACCCCTATGCCACCAGGGAGACCCCCCTCAACATTAGTTTTATTAAAATCAATTTTATGAGTCTGCATCATTTCATATAACCTTCCCAGACTGAATCGGGATGAAAAAGACAGCTTAAACAGTCTGAACACAAGCGCAGAAATTGAAAGAGTAATAAAAAGTCTTCCTAAGAACAAATGCCCAGGACCAGACAGCTTCTCCAATGAATTTTACCAAACTGTCAAAGAAGACCTAATACCTACCCCTATTCAAACTAACAACAAGAAAAACCAAAAAAAAAATCAAAGAGGGTGAAAAAGCCCCCAACACATTCTACAAGACCAACATCCTATTCCCAAAACCAAACAAAGAAAGTACAAAAAAAGAAAATTAAAGACCGATATCCCTGATGACTATAGATGCAAAAATCCTCAACAAAACCCTAGCAAACTGAATACAGGAATATATTATGAGACTCATCCCTTAGGGATGTATGTCTGGTTCATCCTATACAAATCAATCAGTATAATTTACCATATCAACAAAATGAATGACACAAATCACATTATCATTTCAATAGATGTTGAAAAAGAGTTCAATAAGATTCAAAATCTATTTATAATAAAAACACTCAGTAAAATGGAAAAAGTATAACTTATCTAAACATTATAAAAGCTATATATGACAAACCCAAAGCTAACATCATACTTAATGATGAAAAGAATAAAGCATTTTACTAACATCAGGAACAAGACAAGGATGTCCACTGTCACCACTATTATTCTGCATAGTATTAGAAGTCCTACATGAAGCAATTGGGTAATAAAAAGACATAAAAGAAATCCAAATAGGAAAAGAATTCAAACAAACATTATTTGCCTATGACACGTTTATTAATATAGCTAGAGGACCCAATGACTACTAGATATATACTAGAGAACCCAAAAAATACTAGAAATAATAAATAAATATGGCAAAGTGGCAGGATGCAAAATCAATACACAAAAATCAGTTGCAATTCTATATACAAACAATGTCTCAGAAGAAAGAAAAATAAGGAGAACAATCCTATTTACAATCACACAAAAAAGAATCAAACTTAACAAAGGAGGTAAAGGACCTATATATTAAAAATTATAAGACATTGTTAAGGGAAATAAGACACAAGGAAAATAGAAAGATATCCCATTTCATAGGATAAACATCACTTAACTGGCAATATTACCTAAAGCAATTTACAGATTCAGTGCAATAATTCAAAATTCCAGTGACTTTTTTCAAGGAAACTGAACAATTATAAAATTTATATGGCTCTGAAAACTACTGCAATCCTAAGAAAAAAGAAGAAAAGTAGAGGCATACTTTCTGACTTCAAACTATATTATACATCAACAATAATGAAAATAGTATGGTACTGGAACAAAAAATAAACTCAGACCAACAGAATAGAATAGAAAGCCTAGAGATAAACACACACACACAAATATGACAGTTAACTTTTGACAGGGTGTCAGGGCCATACAATGGAGAAAAGAGAGTTTCCTTAAACAAATGGTGTTGGAAAACATGGACAGTCACATGCAAAAAACCCCCACAAAAACTGCATCCATACTTAACTCCATACACAAAAATTAATTCAAAGTGGATTAAAGATTTGGAACTTTAAACTATAAAATACTTGAAAGAAAATATAGATGACGCACTATAGAACTTCTACTACCAAACATGTATTTGGTGACTCAACTCCAATGGCAAAGAAAATCAAAGCAAAAATAAACAAGTGAGACTACTTGTCAAGCTAAGAAGCTTTTGTTCCTCAAAATAAACCATCACATAAACAAAAAGGCAAACCACAGAATGGGAAAAAAACACTTGCACATCACATATCTGACATGGGGCTAATTTCCTAAATTTACAAAGTACTAATACAATCCAACAACAAGAAGACAATGCAATCAAAATTTGAGCAAAAGATCTAAACAGACACTTTAAAGAAGACATTCAGATGGCTTACAGATATATGAAAATTGCTAAATATCATTTATTAAAAGAAAAATGCAAATCAAAACCACAATGAGATGCCACCTCACTCTTGTGAGAATGGCCCATATCAAAAAGAATGGAAACAACAAATGTTAGTGAGGATGTGGTGGAAAAGGAACCCTCATTCACTGTTCATGGAAATGCAAGTTGGAAAAAAGTATGGGGATTTCTTAAGATAATAAAAATGGAAATTCTGTTAGATCCAACAATACCTCTGTTAGGAATTTATCCTAAAAATGTAAAAATTCTGATATGAAAACATTTATGTACAACTATATTCATAGCAGCACTGTCCACAAATGCCAAGGGATGGAAAAAGCATAGATAAATGGAAAAAGAAATTGTGGAATATATATTCAATGGAATACTAAATAGTGCTTATAAAAGATGAAATAGTGGCTTTCGTGACAAAATGGATGGACCCTGCTTTAAATAAATGAAGTCAGAAAGTGTAAGATAGATATCAGATAGTTGCATTCACCTGTGAAATATAAGTAACAATAGCAAAAAAAAAACAAACAAACAAAAAAACCCAAACCCCCCACACAAACTAAATACATCAGGAATAAATCTGGGACTTAGTGAATGAAAGAATTTAGTGGTTTCCAGACAGAACACGGGGAGAGAGAAAGGAGGTGTGGTAGGAGTATTAGGTATTCTCACAGGTTCTTTGGTGGGGATGAGGGAACATTTGCACATACAAAGGAGCAAAACTATAACACAAAATTTAAAAAACTTTTTAAAAAGTGTCTTATTAAATAACTGAAGAGTTAACAATTGGCAAAATACCAAAGAACTATGGAGAAGGATTACTGGTGCATGGTGGTGGATGTGGTATGAGAACATATATCTGAAGAGGTGTGCACCTATACCCCTAAATCATATAGTGTAATAAACCAATGTTACTCGGAAAAAAATAATGTAATTTAAAAGGAAAAAGGTAAAAAAATTATCAAATCATTAATTAAACTAAATACTTACATTGTGACTGTGACAAAATCCAATTCCATTAATAATCTGAAACAAGTACTTTTGAACTAGTTGGTAATCTAGTCCATTTGGAAAGAGTTCCAAGTCATCAAGAATTGTATGGTCAACAAATTCAAAGACTAGGTACCATCGTTTTTTTTTCTTACATACTTCCAACAGATTGACCAGATTTTCATGTCTTAGTTGCTGTTATAAAAGAAAATACACACACACACACAAAAAGGTTTTATTAAGATTAAATTACTAGCAATTAGTCACATCCTAAAGTAGATTTTAGCGGGAGAAACATATACAAAACATACATAATAAGTATGTATTGTGAAAATATATTCTGGTCTTTAAATTATAGTCAAAAGGCCATATTGCTCTGTTCTCTTTTCAGAGAACACAATTTAGTCAATGGAAAAAGAAATGTTGCTCCATCTTTGATGATACCAATACATCATCTGTGGTTATAGAGTAGGCAAGGCAAATTTCCCCAAAGTTTGTGACATATCCTGAAAAGGTTAAAATAAGAACACTTTTCTTTGATATAATAATGGGAGCAGGATGCATGAATTGTCAGTGGAAGCATTCCTAGAACTGACTGGCACCAGAGAACAGCAAGGCAGGGCATGCTGAGTAATCACCTGAAAATTCATTTGCTGGAAGCAATCTGTAAGTGAGGCAGAATGGAAGGCAAAACAATTTATCATGAACAAACCTGCAACTATAAATTTCAGGGAAATTAAAGATAACAAAACTCAATCCCACACATAGGCCTGTTCTAAGCAACATTATTGTGAGCTATAGAGAATTTCTGCTGGCCAAGAATAAGGTCAGTATCTGTCCCTCAGTGAACCTCCCACAAATAACTGATCAAGAGAGACCTGGCTGATTTTGTTAAAAGATAAGAAGCACTCAAAGAGAAATCAATCGAGGATCTACTGAAAGACACTCGAAGAAGAGAGAAGAGGGCCTCCCGATGGCACAGTGGTTGAGCGCTGTATTGCGAAGCTGCCGGCAGCCTCTGCAGCGCCGGTTCCATGCCCGGCAGCCAGGCGAGGGTCCCACATGGTGCGCAGACCTCTCCTGTCACCCGCTGCTCCCCTCAGCAGTGTACTTCGTCAGTCTGCCTGTTCTGTTCCCTGCTCTGGCTCTGATGAATTCTCTCACCCTCTCGCGCTTCTGACTGTACCCAGTGCTTGTATAAATAAATAAATAAATCTTAAAAAAAAAAAAAAAAAGAAGAAGAAAATAGATATGGCAGATAAAACCTCACCAGAAAGTGTTGCCACATTAAAAGGAAAAGTAACCACTAGAATACAACCCTCAAAATTCTCAAGGAAAGAAAGCAAAATTCAGGAACTTTATCTATCCCCAACAAAGCTGTCATTCAACTATAAGAAGAAATTTTGAACATAAACAGTGAATCATTAATGCAGGACTAAGTCATATATATGTGGGCACATGGCCACAAAAAAGGTGAATATTTAAAACCCAAGGATGTACAGATAATATTACTAATAAATATTAGGAGAAAAAGATGGTATAAATAAGATAATAGAGTATGTATGCAGATTTCCTTGTCAATGGATAAAAGCTGTATTTTTTGACCTGGAATTTTTAATTACAAAGTCTTGTTATATTTATAGATTTAATGGTAATCACTAAAATGAATTTGATAGCTTCTAAAATCAAATGGTCGATGAAAGGGAGAGAGGAGGAAATAGAGGTATGGTGATTAAATTGCAAAGGATTAAGTATATCAATAAAAGGTAATGAAAAGTACAAATAAATTTTTTCCAAATTACTAAAGGAAACAACCAATCTGAAAACAAGAAATCAGAGACTATATAGAAAAAAGATTTTAAAGGAGTAATAAACAACGTAATATTATAAATCATAGTAACTAATACATAGAGTTTACTACATTCTAGGCATTATTCTAAGCACAAAAATCCTATTAAATAAGTTTAATTATTGTCCTGCTTTATAGATGAGGAAACTAAAACAAATAGCATTTAAGTAAATTGTCCAAGGTCACATTGCAGTAACTGTAGAGGCAGTGAAATGAATGACCACAATGATACAAGGAAGAGCAGGAAGGGTTAGTATTATTTTATTGTAAGGTACTCATACTACTTATGAAGTAATTTAGCATTATCTGAAAATGGATTTGGATTAGCTGCAAATGTATATTGTAAACTCTAGGGAAACCACTTTAAAAAACCATGTATAATGGTTCAAAGATGCTCAAACCTTGAATTTGGATTAATGCACTGTACTGGGCACATCTGCACACACATGGCAGAGGCAAATGAGCATACTCTGGAAAAAGATAAATTTATCTTACTCTCAAAACATTTTTACAAGTAAATGTTTAAAAAACAATATCCAATACAAAAAGATAATGAAAAACACAAAATAACAAGACACCATAAGCAAGGACTTTAAACTTACTAAGGAGGTTCTGGTCTAGTAGAGTGTCAGTGGCAGAACAGGGAAATTTCTAGCATAAATAATTGTTAACTGGTAAAGGTAGTCAACTACTACAAAGGGTAAAAAAGGACACTACGGAGATTTTCATTTTTCAATTTTTTTGTTTTGCATTTTTAAAATTTTATATATTTCTTACATCACTTTTCATTTTTGCACAATATTTGCATTTTCATCTTGGTTATAGTCCCCATACAATTCCCGCCACCCTTGTTTTGCTCCTACTCCCTTCTCTCCCTGTTGTACTGTGTCCCTAGTTTATAGTTGTTTGTTGATTTTGATTTTTACTTTATTATAATTAGTCTTTTTCTTGGTCCCTTATTTAGGTTTTCTAAATTCCTGCTATGAGTGAGGCCATCTTGTATTTTTCTTTTTCTTTCTGGCTTATTTCATTGAACATGATCCCTTACTGCTCCATCCATGTTGCCGCAAATTGCATGAGTTTAACTTTATTGATTGCTGAGTAATATTCCATTGTGTATATGTACCACACCTTCTTGATTCAGTCATCTATTTTTGGGCATTTGGGTTGTTTCCAGCTTTCACCTATTGTAAATAGTGCTGCAATAAACATAGGGGTGCAGGTCCCCTGTATCCTTTGGGTAAATACCTAGGAGTGGAATTGCTGGATCATATAGGATAAGGGAGATTTTTAAAAGATAGTAAATCCAGAGGGCCTCCCTTGTGGCACTATTAAGCTATTGCCAGGCACTGTAGCATGAGTTTGATCCCCAGCAAGGGAGCTAACCCACACAGCGCAGTACACCTCTCCTGTTGCCTGCTGTTCCCCTAAGCAGTGTATTCTGGTAGAGCTGCTTGTTCTGCTCCCAATTCTGTCTCTGGTGAATCCTCTCACTCCCTGCACCTCTGGCCTGTACCCCTGTTCTTGTATGCATAAATACAAGATTTATTCATATGCATAAATAAATTGTTAACAAAAAGAAATAAAACAAAGGATGAAAGTTAGGTAAAAGGAAAATAATCCCTAATGGAAACTTCAGAAGTAAGATTGAAGAATAATGGAAGGTGGGCCTCCCCAGTGGAGCAGCGGTTGAGCGCTGGGTTGCGAAGCTGCCCGCAGCCTCTGCAGCGCCGGTTCGATCCCTGGCTGCTCCCCGGCCACCGGAATACGGTCCCACATGGCGCGCAGACCTCAACTGCCGCCCACTGCTCCCCTCAGCAGTGTGCTTCGGTCCTTCTGCCTGCTCTGCTCCCCGCTCTGGCTCTGGTGAATTCTCTCACCCTCCCGTGCTTCTGACTGTACCCAGTGCTTGTATAAATAAGTGGATGAATCTTTTAAAAAAAAAAAAAAGAATAATGGAAGGGATAAATTATAAGTATATCCTAATAAATACTGACTGAATAATTTTAACTATATATAGAATTAAAATGCATAACAGGAACATCACATATATCAATAATGATATAGATAGAAGGAAGATGCAGGTGTAACTGAAATTAAAAAAATTTTTTATGCATACAAGAGCTGGGGCATAGGCCAGAGATGCCGGGGGTGAGAGGATTCACCAGAGACAGAGTGGGGAACAGAACAGGCAGATTGACCAAAGTATACTGCTGAGGGGAGCAGTCGGCGAGTCAGGAGAGGTCTGCTGTGCCATGTGGGCTGCTTCCTGGCCGACGGGGATCGAACTCGTGCTGCAGTGGCTGTGGATAGCCTTATAGGCTGCGTCCCAACCCCTGCGCCACCAGGGAGGCCCCTGAAATTAAAATTTGTAATGTTCTTGCAGTGTGAAAGTACTCATTTGACATTAATAAATCAAGTTTGCATATTATAATACCTAGGAAAATCTCTACAAGACAATCTCTAAAGAATATATGACAAAGGAAGTCAAGAAAAAAGTGAGTGCAGCTAGGAAGATGATAAGTATAAATCCAAATATTTGAGTAATAACAGTAAATAGACTAAAATTTTCAATTAAATACAAACGCTATCAGACTGGATGAAATGAAAGACCAACCACATCTGTCTTAAAAACACACATCTTACATCTAAGGACATAAAAGGGTTAAAAGGAAAAAGAATTACATATATATGCCAGATAAATAACTTTGAAAACAGCTGGCATAACCATACAAGACGAGGTGTACTTTATGACACGGAGAAAAGAAAAAAAAAACACAGACGGTTATAAGGCTATAAAACGTTTATGGACTAGACTCAATATTGTAAAGTCATCAATTCTCTTCCCAAATTAATCTACATAGGGTTAATTAAATCACAATAAAATTCCTAGGGATGTTTTTGTGAAAACTGATAGACTGGTTCTAAAATTTACTTGTTTGTATGTTTGTTTATATATGTAATTGTTTTAAGATTTATTTTTTTATACAAGAACTGGGGTACAGGCCAGATGTACGGGAGGGTGAGAGGATTCATCAGAGACAGAGAGGGGAACAGAACAGGCAGACTGACTGAAATACACTGCTAAGGGGAGCAGTGGGCAAGATAAGAGAGGCCTGCTGTGCCATGTGGGTATCTCCCCCGCTGGTTGGGATCTGGTTCTAAAATTTAATTGGAATCCTGAAGTGGTCAAGACAATCACAGAAGACAAAGTCGCAGAATTTATTCTATCAAATATAAAAGTGACAGACTAGAATAAATATGATTGTGGGCTTTTGCCACAAACTTTAAGGACATATAACATTTGGACATATAACATATATTTAAGGACATATAACATATAACATTTAAGGACATATAACATTTAAGGACATTCATCAAAAGATGAATTCAGAGCAGTGAAGAAAACATGGTGTTTTCAGTAAATACATCTGGAACAACTGGACACCCATAAGGGAAAAATAAGACTTGATTATGTCATATATCATAATTAAAATCAATTTTAGGTGTAGAAAAATATAAGTATGAAAAGCACAACTAGTAAGCTTCCAGATAATAAAAGATTAATAATGAAAGCTAGGTAGGGTAAGACTTCTTAAATAAGATATAAGTGGTACAAGTCATAAAAGAAAACATTAAACATTTTACTACATTGAAATTAGCTATTTCTGTTTAGCAAAAGATACTATTAAGAGAGTGAAAAAAATCTTAAAGAAATTCAGTTAAAATTATAATTTTAATTATAATAATTAGAAATTCATGTTTATTTGGTGAATGTGAAAAAATCAAGGGAGGGGATAACATGCAAGTCAAGATAAAGTTTATCTAAAAGGTGAAGGAGAGGTTAGTGACTAGGATGGGGCAAAAAATGGGTTACTAGCAGTGTTATATTTCTTGACATACATGGTGGTATGTACATAAATGTTTGCATTCTAATAATCCACTGAGTTATAGTTTTGTGCACTGTCTACACGTTGGTTATACCTCAGAATAAAAAACATTGAAAATAAAATATCTAAAATTAACAACTCAGTGTTGGGGATTAATGACATATCAAGAAGAGAATTAGTGAACTAGATGATAGGTCAGAAGAAACCATGCAAAACGGCACACAGAGAGACTGATGGCAAGAAAAATGTAAGAGAGGAATTTAGTGAGAAGATTTAATATCTGTTAGCTGGAATCCAAAAAGCAGAAGCAAAAGGGAATGAATTTAAATAAAATTTGAAAGATAAAAAGCAAGAATTTTCCAGAATTAATTCAAGAAATCATGTATATATGTTGAAGGGGGCCTGAAAATTAAACATTTATCTATCGCAACAGATTAGAAAAGAGAACTGCAAAATAAATCCATCCAAAATAAATAAAACGGATGAAATACTAACAAACAAAAATTAATGAAATAGAAAGGAAATACATGATAGAGAAAATCAACAAAACCAAATGATTTTTTTTCTAAAGGTAAATAAAACTTAATATATTCTTAGAGTGAACGAAGAGAGAGTAAAGAACATTAACATAACAGGCCTAAGACTGCTATCCTTACAAAGGTATGCTTACAAAATGAGCTGTTGGCTGGCACCTGGGAACTTGGACTTCAAGAGGGTGCTCTTCAATTCCAGAACTGATAGAATGACTTACTTTGCAAATATTATTTTTATGCTCAATACCTGCAATCCTTTTGAGAGTCTGGATTTTGGTAAAAGGCAGCCTGAGGGGGCTTATATGATCAGCTCCCAATAAAACCTTGGACATTGAGTGTCCAATGAATTTCCTTGGTAGACAATATTACCATGTGTAGTCAAAACTCATTGCTGGAAGAAATAATTGTATCCTGTGTGACTCTACTGGGAAAGGATTCTTGGAAACTTGTACCAAGTTCTGGAATTCAACCCATGTGCCTTTTCCTTTTACTGATTTTGCTTTATAAGCTTTCACTGTAATAAATCATAGGCTGAGTACTATGAGTGCTTTGTAAATCTCAAAACCAGTGTTGGTCTTTAGAACTCTCAACACAGATTATAGACAGGCAGGCAGATAGACAGAGAGTAGCAACAAACACTTTAAAAATCTTGTTATATTCACGAGATAAGTGGCTATGCATATATAGTCATTTTTTTGTTTATTCTCCCAAAGAAGAAATTTATACTTCAAATCTCGTTATGAAAATAAAGCAAATATAAAACCACAGTATTTTTGGAAAAATGTAATCTTTAGAAAAATCTAATCTTTTTCAACATTTGATTGAAGCATACATGTATTTACTCACCTTTAGTAACTTGATTTCTCGCATAGCAATTTTTTTAACCATTTTGTCATCATCGCTTTCTAAAAACTTCTTGATGGCCACAATTCTTCCACTATCTTTATTCCTACATTTCATCACCATTCCATAGCTTCCTTCTCCAACCAATCCTAGGTTCTCATATTTTTCCATTTTAATTTAAGACCAGTAGGAATTTTTCTTGCTGTGGAAACCATTATTAACTCTAGTAAATGATGCTGAGTATGTTAATTTCTTCCACACCCACCTCCCAGAAATTTAATTCTTTCCCAAGTGTTTTCCATGTTAGAGCAGTCACTGTGTTTTCTCTCTCCTGTGCTTATTCACAATTTCTTCTTGTTTTCACATTTAAGCTTTGTTTTCACAATATTTGCACAAATTTCATAAGCAAGGCAGGCAAATTAAAGTTAGTAACTTTAAATTTAAATTACTAAATGGCATGTTAATGAAATTCAACATATTTTTAACTCAGATAAAGCAGTAATTGAACTATCAGTCAAAACAATTATGGCTTACTTTGGAAAAACACAATTCCTTTTCATTCAAAGGAATTTGTTTTTAATGAAGATAAAATTTATTTTTTATATCATATTTAAAGATCAAAGCTGAAAATCTTTAAGCCCTTTCTATTAAATAGGGAAAAATTTTTGCTCATAAAGTGATCACTTACTAAGTTAACACTAAGAAACTATGATAAATGATTTTTTTTAACTTTTCTTCTACGGTGTTAAATTCCTCAATTGAACTTACAGAATAACAGCAATGACATCATAGTTTATAAACAAATTTTCTAAATTAAATATTAGTACAACCAAATACAGTGTTTCAAAAATACTTTTAATGATTACTCACTATGAGATTGAATTTTGAATTTAGAAATCATTTACATCCTATTATATGGCATTTTCAAGGCAATCCTAATAAAATCTTATTTTAGTAATGGTTGATGATGGTCCAGCAATTATTCCATTACATATTTTGGAACAGAAAAAAAAATTTCAGTCAAAATACATGTAGATGTTAATTCATAAGGTTTGATTGCCATAAAATAGAAAAGTTAATAAGCTATGACTTCAAAATTAAACTTCTTAAATATGATATTGAAATTAAATTCCAACTGCAAATTGATTACTCCAAATTTATTCTCCCAACCGACTGCACAATTGGGTCATAGCACACTGAACCTATCTGCTTCTTTAAGAGGCATTGCCCACAAGACCTTAAAAGTATCATGAATTTATATTTAAGTCTCAATCCCAACATAGTCCTCAATATTTTGGAAGCAAAAATAGTCTTTCGGTAACTATACTCAAGTAATTCAGTGTTGAATTTTATTTTATCTGACAATATAGAAACACTCATAAAACTTGGAAAGAAAAAACAGTCTCATGTTATTGCATGCTTATGGCACTCTAAAATTAATTTACCCAAATTGTGAACTGTGATGTTTTACTCCTCTCCCTATTATAAATAGTACACTAACAAGGACAAAACATATCCTCTTGGCTCTGGCAAACCGTGCGATCCAATGTACACAATACATTTTTAGCACTTTTCAGTTAACAATTTAGAGTCTGTGTTATATATAACAGTTTAGGGTTTTATTACATGTACATATATATTTAATGGATATATGTATGCAAAAGAGATTATCCTCGTGGGGGGAAATGAAAATAAATCTCAGTCAAAACCAACTCTAATTATTTCATTAATTTACTACCAGTTTTAAGGGTAGGTTCTACCACAAACTGTTTGTAGGGAGTTTTCCTGACACTAATTTCCCATACATTTGACATTATAACTTCCATCTAATATCTATTACCTATTTTTTATAAAGAAAAAATTACTCATTGTAAGTCTATCCCGCCTTTTCTTAATTTCCCCCCCTTCCAAGAAAAAAGCATGTTTTAAGGATTAGACTTCAGGTTTATCTTGCCAAGGACAAAAATAACTGGAATCTATAACCTGGATCATTTTAACCATTTTGCAATTGGTGTCCTCACAATTTTAAAATGCAAAGTGAATAAAACTTACCTTAGCATATCTTAGATGTTCTGAAGCATAGCACAAGCTAACATATGCATATGATTACTCCAACTTTATTCTCACCAACTGCACAACTGGGTCACAGCACACTGAACGTGCCTGCTTTCTCAAGTGGCACTGTCCACAAAGACCTTATAAAAGCATCACAGTTTAAAAATCTCCTTGCTTCCTGAAACAGTTACTCATAAACTGTAACTTCTCCTGGAAGTAAGGGTAATACCAAGTGAAAAGAAGCCTGGTCTATAGGCAATGCTAGGTATTACCGGACATGTGCCATGTAAGCATCTGTCTTTACTACTATCAATTTAAATAATAAAAACTGTACTATTTTTTATTTTGTTCAAGACAGACTGAAATCTATTCTAGATAGATGACTGAGATAATGGAAGTTTTTTAAAGTATTGTACTTACTATTTCTTTAAAATCCTTTAGCGTGGCAAGACCCAGAGGTTTTCAACTTGGAAGTAAATTTGAGGTGAAATGCATCTCGCTCGCAGATCTAAAAGATGCTGACTAGCAATTCCAATGCTGTTGTGATAGATTTCTTCTGTGAATAGTCACGGGTCCTAGGTGAAGCTGGCAGGGAGGCAGATGGGCCTTGGCCCGCCGCAAGCTCACACTCTGGAGCACCGAGGGCCGCATGCTGTCGTTGTCAAGGCAACGACCTCACTCCGTCCCCAACCATTGGCACAAAGTCTCCAGAGAGAGGCACGGCCCAGGTCAGACTGCGTCCTTGGCTGGCACCAACACCTGTTAAGACCAAGACTTGTAAAGAACTTACCTGCGGTGGGAGGGCACCTGGAAGGTGCCCAGTCCCTGGAGTCCGTGAATCTATTTGGCTCCAGCAAGCTCTGGGCAGAGGCGTTGGCCACCGAGCTGCAAGGGGGCGGGTCTTCATGCGCTAGGCCCGCCCCCGAGTGCGCCAAGCCTCCCTTATTCTGATTGGCCAGAGCCTGTCGTTAGGAGCTATGATTGGCTCACCGCCAACCACCCCGCCCCTTTACCTGGCGCTTGGCTCAGGTTTGGTTCACTAGGGCGCAGTCGCCAAGCCTCGGCGCACTGAAGCGTTCTCGATTAAGGAGCCTCGGTTCTGCCTTCACCCGGTCACGACAGCACTGACTGGAGAGATCGGGAATGATCGATCAGTGAGAACTCTTAAGTTCCCAGTCATTTTCTCTTTAAATCATGAGAACTAAACGTTCTAGAAAACACTTTGATCCTTGGTGAGAGACTGTCCTGGAGAGCACACATTAAGGTATTAACTCCTTCTTATATACTAAGAAACATTTTGGTTTATAAATAATCTTTTTTTTAAAGATTTATTTATGCATACAAGAACGGGTACAGGCCAGAGGTGCGGGCGGTGAGAAGATTCACCAGAGACAGAGTGGGGAGCAGAACAGGCAGACTGACTGAAATGCACTGCTGAGGGGAGCAGCTGGCACGGCAGGAGAGGTCTGATGTGCTGTGTGGGTAGCTCCCTGGCCAGGGATCCAACTCTTGCTGCAGTGGCTGCTGTTAGCTTCATAGGTTGCCTCTTCACCTCTTGTGCCACCAGGGAGGCCCCTATAAATAACCTTTTGCAAGTTTGCTTAGCAGTATTTGATCACCTTAACCTGTTTAATATGGAGCTCCTGAAGCTGAGGACTATACCTGGAACGAGAGTATGGAGAAATACATAATTCTTTGGTCAATGCAAGATGTAAGTCTTAATGTTGCAATAGCTCTTCGCTTAACTGACAGAATTGGGGGGAGCCGTGTTCCATTTTGTTACCTCTGTAGGCTATAAGTAAATCTGGTGAACTTTTTATATGAGCGGAAGCTCACCTTTTGTAAAGTGGCAAATCCAGGTTTGTTGGGTGTGAAACTTGAAAACAAGAACACAAATATCTTTAATTTTGCACCTTTACAAAAAGACCCATCTAAGAAAGAGGCCCTAAAGCTTAAATAACTTGTTTATATTCCAGTGATAACCAAGAGGAAAAAGATTGAACATACTAAATTTGGTGAATATATAATAAGAAAGTCATTTCAAAACAATTGTGTTTGAAAGCCAACTATACAAGAGACAAAAACTGTACTCCTTGGATAAAGCCATGTACATGTTTGCTGAAGAGGAGGTGGCACTATGTAGAAGCAGGATTGGGTAATTCTTTTTTTAAATGTGGAGATTATTGTTTAAAGATGATGAAAGGAGGGCCTCCCTAGTGGCACAAGAGGTTAAACACAGCACTGTGAAGCTATCCACAGCCTCTGCAGCATAGGTTCGATTCCCAACCAGCCAGGCAGCTACCCACATGGCCACAGCAGACCTCTCCTGTCTCACCCGCTGCTCCCCTTAGCAGTGAATTTCAGTCATTCTGCCTGTTCTGCTCCCCACTCTGTCTTTGGTGAATCCTCTCACCCCCCTGCATCTCTGGCCTGTATCCCAGCTCTTGTATGCATAAATAAATAAATCTTTAAGGATGATGAAAGGAAAGAATGTAAGAAGGTTTTTTTTTTCACATTTTTGATCACTATTTTATTTATTTATTTATTTAGAGGCATGTTTTATTTATTTATTTGTTTGTTTGTTTGTTTTTGTTTATACAAGCACTGGGTACAGTCAGAAGCGCGGGAGGGTGAGAGAATTCACCAGAGCCAGAGCCGGGAGCAGAGCAGGCAGAAGGACCGAAGTACACTGCTGAGGGGAGCAGCGGGCGGCAGGAGAGGTCTGCACGCCATGTGGGACCCTCCTCCGGTGGCCAGGGAGCAGCCGGGGATCGAACCGGTGCCGCAGAGGCCGCAGGCAACTTTGCAACCTAGTGCTCAACCGCTGTGCCACCCGGGAGGCCCTCAATATTTTATTTATAACATAATTAACAGCAATTATCCACTTGACATGGAGTTGGGAAAAGACAACCAGAACAATGATACACAATTATTGTTATACCACGATCAGTGTTCTTCAGAGTATTCTGTAAGAAGGGTTTTTAAAGAGGCAAGAAAAGGAGTAATTAATGAAAAACCAAAGACAGGTAATGAAGACACATGTGAAAAGGTAATAAAGTGTAAGAAGGGCTTAGCCTTGAAAGTGTTTAAAGATGAAAAACTGAGAAAACAATGACTCATTCATGAGCCTAAGATGTTAAGTAAAAGAACTTTATTTTTGTAGGGGAAAAAATGGTGAGATTGACGTTAAAAAATCAGAGTAGAAATTCCTTGAAATAGGTGGTTATGAGTAGTCATATTTTTAAAGACTTATTTTTATTTATTTATGCACAGAACTGGGACTGTAGGCCAGAGGGGGGAATGAGAGGATTAATCAGAGACAGAGTGGGGAGCAGAACAGGCGGATCTACTGAAATACACTGCAAGGGGAGTGGCGGGCAAGCAGTGCTTTATATGGGTTAGCTAGCTCCTTGGCCCAGGATCAATCTCAGGCTCTAGTGGTAATAACATGATAGCCCTGAGACTTAATCCCTACGCCACCAGGGAGGCCCTGAGAAGTCATTTTTATATTGATACGAAAGGACACAAAATGTAAAATGTGCCACTTGAGTCTAAATACTATTAATTTTAAATGAAACTATTATTTCATAGGATTGGCGTCCCTAGGGTTAAGAATGGAAAAAATAGGTGGCACACCTCTACTAGAGAATTGTTAGTGCAAGAGATTAAACAGAGTTAAGGAAGCGATGCTGGAGAAAGCACCATTGAAATGGCTTGTCATAGGTTTCAGCTAGATGGGAAGATAAAATATGACAGAAGTTACTAAACTGAAAAGAGGCAATGAGGGAGTGCATGTTATAGGCATGAAGAATAAGTTGCATGGGAATGAAATAAGATAAAAAGTTTTTTATCAAAGAAAGCAATTTGTAAATTTAAGAACTTGGAAAAGGCATAAGATGATGTTCAGTTCTAAAGCGTGGCATGTTTAGCTGTTCCTTTGGGTAGCTGAAGTTGAGTGAAAACTGTTATTGGAGTTGAAGCTTGAGTTTAAAGTATGAAAGTCATAAACTTTTGGTTTTATATTTATTTTCTTACATCATTGTTAATTTTTGGATAGTATTGGATTTCTCCCCTCAGGCATAGCTCCTGTAGTTCTCCCCCAGCCACAGTACCCATGATCAATCTCCATCATCCCTTATGTTCTTCCCTCCCCTGTTTTGACTCCTCCCCAGTTGTATGCCTCAGATCTATTGTCAGCTTCACCTTTTGTCTTTCGTTTGGTTTCTCTGTATTCCTTATATAAGTGAAATGACCCAATATTTATCTTTTTCCTTCTTACTCCACTTAGCATAATCCCCTTCAGCTCTATCCATGTTGCTGCAAATGGCATGAGTTTTATCTTTTTTTGATTGCTGAGTAATATTCCATTATGTATATGCATGACATCTTCTTGATCCATTCATTTGTTTTGGGGCATTAGGTTTCTTCCATATCTTGGCTATTTTAAATTGTGCTGCAATAAACATAGGAGTGCAGGTTTTCTTTTGAATTAGTGGGTTTTTTTTGTGTGTGTCCTTTGGATAGATTCCCAGTGGAATTGCTGGGTCAGATGGTAGGTCCATTTTTAGTTTTTTTTTAAGGAAACTGCGACACAGTTTTCCTTAGTGACTAGATCAGTCTACATTCTCACCAGCAGTGTAAGAGTGTTCCTTTCTCACCACATCCTCACCAGCATTTATTGTTTGTGGCTTTTTTAATATGGAAGATGGAAGATGGTATCTCATTGTGGTTTTGATCTTCATTTCCCTGATAAGAGATGTTGAACATCTTCTCATGTATCTGTTGGCCATTTGCATTTCTTTAGTGTCTTTTTAGTTCTTCTGCCCATTTTTTGGTTGCTTGCTTTGTCTTTGTTGAGTTGTGTAAGCTCTTTGTAGATTCTTTGATATCAGTACCTTATCAGATGTATGGAGTACAAATATTTTCTCCCATTCAGGAGCGTGTCTCTTTGTTTTGGTTGCTGTCAGTTTTGCTGTAAAAGCTTTTTTTTTTTTTAAAAAAAAAAGATTTATTTTATTTATGCATACAAGAGCTGGGGCACAGGCCAGAGATGCGGGAGGTGAGAGGATTCACCAGAGGCAAAGTTGGGAACAGAACGGGCAGACCCACTGAAATACACTGGTGAGAGGAGCAGAGGGGAGACAGGAGAGGTCTGCTTCACCAGGTGGGTTTCTCTCTAGCTGGCCGGGATCAAACTCATGCTGCAGAGGCTGCGGATTACTTCATAGTGCAGTGCTTAACCCCTTGCACCACCAGGGAGGCCCGTAAAAGTTTTTTAGTTTGATGTAGTTCAGCTGTTTATATTCTTTGTTTTCTTGGTGCTGGAGATGAGTCCTCAAAGATTTTTCTGAAGTTTATGTCATGGAGTGTTTTGCCTATGTTTCCTTCTATGTATTTTATGGTTTCAGACCTTACATCTAAGTCTTTTATCCATTTTGAGTTGATTTTTCTGTGGTATGAGATAGTTGTCTGGTTCATTCTTTCGCATGTGACAGTCCATTTTTCCCAGCACAATTTATTGAAAAGATTTTCCTTGTTCCAGTGTATATTCTTTGCTTCTCTGTCGTAGACTAATTTACCATATATGTGTGGTTTTATTTCTGGGCTTTTGATTCCAATTGGTCTGTGTTTTTGTTCCAGTGCCATGTTGTTTTTTTAATATTATAGCTTTGTAGTATAGTTTGAAGTCTAGGAGTATACTAATTCCATTCTCCCCCTTTTTGGTCAGGCAGGTTTTAGCTATTTGTGATTCTGTATGGATTTCAGCAATATTTGTTCCCTTTCTTTGAAGAATGTCTCTGAGATTTTTATTGGAATTGCACTGAATCTGTAAATTGCTCTGGGTAGAATAGTCATTTTGATGTTGATTGTTACAATCCATGAGCAGAGAGTATCTTTTCATTTCTTTG